CCTTTCTGTGGAGCTAGCTGGTTTCCCTGCTTTTAGGCTGCCACCTTAAGAGACTCCTTCCTGGTTTGGTCTTAACAGCTAAGCCGATGATGTCCGTACTGCCGCCCTTCAGTGCCTTGAGTTCTGTTCTGTTAAACGATTTTAATACACAGTTTTATAACCTGGTATAGTATAAAAATGGTAATGGGTGGAAGATTAGAGCAGTGTGATACCTGATCTGAGTCAGACTGGCTTCCCGCCTTGTCCTGAAACTCGCTGATTTTCTTACTTAGGCCCCCTTTTGAACTTCAGTTACAAAACAAGAATAAAAACAATTGTTGTGATCTGGATTACAGCTGATGGGGGCCTGAACTGGGCAGCACTTTGGCAATGGAAGCCTAAAGGCAGGTCTACAGAAGGGTTGACTCAGAGTGGGAGGTGAAAGATGATGGTAACGCTTATGTTGTTAAGCTTGGCACTTCGGCTCATCTTGGGCTCTTAGATTGTGATGGGGAGAAAAGAAGCAGCTTGTAAACGTAAGATGATTAGCTCCATGTGGTTGAGCAATGTGGCAAAGGTCATGTAGCAAGTTCCTCCCCGAGCCAAGCCTGGGCACCAGGCCATTTGAATTGCCGCTGGGAAGACCCACTGATTTAACCTACTCGTCCTCAGTTGTTTGGAATGAGTCAATGCAACTTGTGTCTGCTTGACAGTCTGAATTTTAATTGTGAGTGGAAACGCTCGATCCTGGAGAAAGCCTTTCAAGTGTGTTGGAAGGGGTGAATTGAGTTTCCGAGGCTGACTTCTGTCTCCCTCCTCACATCCATGTCTGCCACCTTCCCGTCCCTTCTCTTCTTCCTCCCCTCCCTTCACTTTCCCTTCTCTCCCCTTCCTCTCTCCCTCCCTTTCTTCCTCTTTCTTTCTCTTTCTTCCTTTCTGTCTCTCCTTCATTTTAATTGGAAAGCCATATCAAATTTACACAGACAAGGAGAGACAAAAAAATCTTCCATTTGCTGCTTTACTCCCCAAATGCCCACAAAAACTGGAGTTGAGCTGATCCAAAGACAGGAGGCTGAAGCCTCTTCTGGGTCTCTCACGTGGGTGCAGGGTCCCAAGGTTTTGGGCTGTTCTCCACTGCTTTCCCAAGCCACATGCAGGGAGCTGAATGGGAAGCAGGGCTGCCGGGATTAGAACCATTGCCCGTATGGGATCCAGGCGTGTTCAAGGTGAGGACTGTAACTGCTAGGCTACCATGCTGGACCCAGCTCATTTATTTCTCACAGCCACCCCAGGAGGTTGAGACATTCAATTGTATTTTATAGATGTATAAATGGAGGCTCACTGATTTTTTTTTTTCTCACTAGTCAGCTGGTGAATGAAATCAGTGAGTAAAATCAGAATTGGCCCAAATCTAAGTCTAAAATCTGGCTGTCCTCCCTTCTCAAAGCGTTCCCTGGCCTTCCCCTGAGGGAATTCTGGTGGCAGAGAGTCCCCTGCAGAGGCTTCTCCTGGGAGATCTGCTTGTCCCTGCACCTGCTGATTGCATTTCTGCTTTTCCCGGGAAGCGGCATGGGCCTCGGGGAGTGGCATCTCTGGGTCAGGCTGCCTTTGCCTGGAGATTGTTCCTTCTCCCTCAGATTCTTTCCCCCTAGACTTTTACATTGTCGTCTCCGTCACTTAGGTCTCTGTTCAGACTGTGGCTCCACAGAGGACCCTTTCTCAGCTTTATCTGTCACTTACAGTTCATGTCATTTTCTTGCTGTCCTCCAGGGTCTTCTCTGTGAGAAATGACATTTCGGAGTATGTGTGTCTTGTTACCTGCTCCTCTCCAGAGAGCAGGGTTGCAGTGTTTTCTTCCTCTGATCCAGCTCCCTGCTTGTACACTTAGGAAAACAGCAGGTGGCCCAGGTCCTGGGGTCTCACCTTCCAGGGAGACTGGAAGAAGCTTCACCAGGATGAAAGGCCTCTCTTTGGTTTTCTTCTTTGTAACTCTGCTTCAAATAAAAATACAGTAAATCTCAAAAAAAAAAAAAAAAAGGAAATGATAACAACAGTTAGGTCTAAGGTAGTGTTCCAGCTTTCCTACAACTATTTTTTGAAAAAGATTTATTTATTTTTATTGGAAAAACAGATTTACAGAGAAGAGACAGAAAGATTTCCCATCCGCTGGCTCACTCTCCAAGTGGTTGCAATGGTCAGGGTTGAGCCGATCTGAAGCCAGGAGTTTCCGGGTCTCCTACTCGGGTGCAAGATCTAAAGGCTTTGGGACATCCTCCACTGATTTCTAAGGTCACTGGCAGGGAGCTGGATGGGAATTGGGTTAGCTGGGATATAAACCACCACCCATATGAGATGCTGGTGTGTGCAAGGGGAGGCCTTTATCCTCTAGGCTATCACCCCAGACCCAAAGGGAATTTTTAAAAAAAAAGATTTAATCATTTTTAATGGAAGATTAACAGAGAAGGAGAATCAGAGAATAAGATTGTTTTTAAAGATTTATTTTATTTTTATTGGAAAATTTTTATTGGGAAATAGAACAGGCCAGACTGAAACTAATGCTGGTAATCTCTGGTGCTGGTAAGGGCTGCCAGTGTTGCAGATAACAGCTTAACTTGCTGTGTCATAGTGCTGGCCTTATGCGTGGCAGTTTTGTATCCTGCCTTTCAGGCAATGTATTCTTATCAAAATTACTGATAAAGATTTATGTTCCATGTGAGATATTAGTGTCTTACTTCTTTAAATGTTTCATAGTCATTCATTGTAAAATTGTGTACCTCTCTGTCAGAACCACAGGACCTTCTGATTGCATTTGGGAGTTCCCAGATCATCTCAGCGACCCCAGGAACTGCTGTTCGGCAGTAGTCACTTATATCAGAATTTGCCTAATTCAATGCATCTTTCCTCCTGAAAATACCTTCATTATTAGTTGTCTCTTAGTAAGGATTTGCTTGCTTATTTTTATTCACTGTTTTGAAAAGCAGTATGCCATAGAGAGATATTGTCTATCGTCAGGTTTAGCTCGTAGGGCTGAACCAGCCTGAAGCCGAGTCATACGCTGCAGCCAGGTCTCCTGCACGGGTGACAGGGGCCCAAGTACTTTGGGCGTTAGCTGCTGATCTCCCCATTTCATCAGTAGGAAGCTGGGTTAGAAGTAGAGCACTGTGTTATGAATGACAGCATTGTAAATGGTGTGAGTCTTCTGCATCCCAGTGGTGGCCCATAATGACTTTTTCCTTTTTTTTTTTAAGATTTATTTTTTATTTTTTTTAAAGATTTATTTATTTTTATTACAAAGTCAGATATACAGAGAGGAGGAGAGACAGATAGGAAGATCTTCCATCCGATGATTCACTCCCCAAGTGAGCGCAACGGCCGGTACTGTGCCGATCTGAAGCTGGGAACCAGGAACCTCTTTCAGCTCTTCCACATAGGTGCAGGATCCCAAAGCTTTGGGCTGTCCTCAACTGCTTTCCCAGGCCACAAGCAAGGAGCTGGATGGGAAGTGGAGCTGCCGGGATTAGAACCAGCGCCCATATGGGATCCCGGCGCATTCAAGGCGAGGAATTTAGCCACTAGGCCACGCTGCCGGTTCCAAGATTTGTTTACTTTTTGTTTGAAAGACAGAACTATGGAGAGAAGGAGAAAAGGAGGTATCTTCCAAGTACTGGTTCACTCCCAAAATGGCTGGGCCACGTCAAAAGCAGAAGCTTCACTGCGTCTTTTACATGGGTGCCAGGGTCCCAGGTACTTGGGCCATCTTCCACTGTGATCCCTGGGCTCTTTAGCAGGGAGCCAGATTGGATTGGAGCAGGCAGAAGTTGCATCCATATGGCATTGCAAGCGCAGCTTAACGTACTTTAATGCCAGCCCTCATTATTTAGTTTTGATCATGCATTGTCATCAGTTGCATTGCCCAGAGGCTTAATAAAGAGAATAAACGAGTGAAAAAAAAGGACAAATGAGGAGAAGAGATACACAGTCAGGGATGGACAGTTGTGCGATTCAAATGGTGACTGCAGATTCAGAGGCAGTTGGGCCAGTATTACTGTGTATTAATAAAATTGAAAAGCTGATTGAAGCGGTTGATTTCTTTGGAAACCATTAATGCACATTATCAAAAGGTACTACACATGTAGAAAATATGAATAGATCAAAGAAAATCTAAGTAGGGATTTTTTTTGTTGAGCCTTCCAAATGTGGAGTTAGGCATCAGTGTCTCACCTTTTCTTAGATTCTTAGCATTGACAGCTTGTAGTTATTTCATTTGTCCATTTTTGCCTTCCTCTAATAGATGGAAGGCTCTTGAGGACGGAAACTTTGTGTCACTTTTGGTCTTGATATTCCCTATGAAGTTTGAACAAATATTTGTGAAATGCAGGGCAAATGATGACATTTGACCTGGAGACTGCGTGTGTGTGTGTGTGTGTGTGTGTGTGTGTTACTTATTTTTGTTGGAAAGGCAGATTTACAGAGAGACAGATTTTCTGTCCACTGGTTCACTCCCCAAATGGTCACAACAGCCAGAGCTGATCTGAAGCCAGGAGCTCCTTTTGGGTCTTTCATGCAGGACAGGTTCCCAAGGCATTGAGCCGTTCTCCACTGCTTTCCCAGGCTGTAAGCACAGAGCTGAATGGGAAATGGAACAGTGAGGACAAGAACTGGTACCCAAATGGGATGCTGGTGTTTAGGCTGAGGGTTAGCCAGTTGAGCCATTGTGCCAGCCCTTGCTTGTGTTTTGATGTTCTGAGGAGTGTCCCTCATAGGAATCCTTGGAGAACAGTGCTGAGGGAGGGGTGCCCTGCAGTCCCAGAGACCGCAGGATGCTGTTGCACAGAAGAGGAGGAACAGTGGAGAATACAACATGTGTGTTAGAGTGAGGGCAGGTATGAAAGAGCACTGGCAGGGCTTCCTGGAGCTTTGCTGTTGGAATAATGCCTGCTTGCTTTTTATGTGTAGGGAGTGGTGCTACACTCTGGGCAGACTGTGCCTAAGTTTCATAAATATTTAATTGGCTTTTTCAGGAGAATAAAGGCAGCCCCGTTGATGACTGAAAATGACAAAGCATCCACCTAACAGACGAGGAATCAGCTTTGAAGTGGGAGCCCAGTTGGAAGCCCGGGACCGTTTAAAAAACTGGTATTTTTTTAACATTTTTCTGTTTATTAAAGGTCTTCAGTAAAGGATTTTTGCCAGCACTGACATGAAGTGGTAGCCGAGGCTTGTCTGCTATTTTCCTGCTTTCTGACTCTTGGATGAGGGAGGGAGACTTGTCTAGAAGCGTGAGCATGTCCTCCTTTCATCTTGGGTATAGGGTCTCTCTGACAGGGCGTCCATTCTTGACCCCTTGTTCATACTTGTTTCCCCTGTCCTTCTTCTGAAGGAGTTATGGGAGAAAAAAGTCAGGTGGGTCTGAGGAAGGGAAAGGGTTAATGGTGGCTGCTCTTGCTCTTGCTGCTGGTCTGAAGATGAGAGGAAAGATCAGGAATGAAAAGATGCAGATAAGAGTTAGGACTGGATGGCTCCTGTGTTGTGAGCAACCCCTCTTGTTTTCTGGGTGTGGTATTGTGTGGTTGAAATATCTCAGGCACTTTCAGAAAGATGTATTCCACGAGCTGAAGGATTGCTGTCCCTCTCTGTCACTGCCTGTGACTTGCGACATTGACTTCCAACTATAGATGCCTTGGTAATATTGATCTCATGGAATTAGTCTTTGTGTCAATCAAATGGAGTATGCGGGAAATGTCTTAGAAACTGTCAAGTCCTTTGTGGGGTTGAGGTCCTCCTAGAGTTTGGTCATCAATCAGGACTCTAGGTGAGAGAGGGGTTTTCAGAATTCCAACCTTTTTGAATGTTTGTCAGGAAGAATTTAACCCTTTTGAAATTATATCAAGCAGGTTGATTAGTTTCTGGGGTATAGGAAGAGAAACAGGGGCAAATGATTCTCTGCTATTAGTATTGAGATACTTGAAAACAGTTGCTTTAAGGCAGTTTTATTATCTCTTATATTTCTTTCTTTCGTTTCTTTTTTTAAAAGGAGCAAGGAGCTTCTTCTGGATCTCGCACATGGGTGCAGGGTCCCACGGCTTTGAGCTGTCCTCGACTGCTTTCCCAGGCCACAAGCAGGGAGCTGGATGGGAAGCGGGGTTGTTGGGGCATGAATTAGTTCCCATACGGTATCCCGGCATGTGCAAAGCGAGGACTTTACTGTGCTAGGCCCTATTTAAAAGATTATTTTAAAAAAGTATTTTTATTTGAAAGGCAGAGTTATAGAGAGAAGGAGAGATAGAGATCTTTCATTCTCTGGTTCACTGCTCAAATGGCCACAGCAGCTGAACCTGGGTCCATCGGAAGCTAGGAGCTTCTCCTGGGTCTTCCATGTGGGTGCTGTGGCCTAAAGACTTCAGCCATCACCTGCTACTTTTCCAGGTCATAAACAGGGAGCTGGATTGGAAGTGGAGCGGCTGAGATCTGAATGGATGCCCATATAGGATACTGGTGCCAGTCCCTTGTATTTCTTTTTCTTTGAGATTATTTGTACTAAGTGTATCTGTGTTTCTGGTTCTTACATGTTTTACCATTTTTTGGAAGGGATTTTTTTTCTTACTTAATTTAGTTGAGTGTCAGGGAGACAGTGAGCTAATGTGTGCTGGTTTATGCCCTATGTGCATAAAAAGGATGGGGCCAAACTTGGCTGGGGTAGGTCGTGACTGGAGCCAGGAGCTGGGGATTCAGACAAGATCTTTCCTGTGGGTGGAAGGGAGTTAATTACTTGAGGCACCACTCCTGTCTCCCAGGATCTGTGTTAGTGGGAGAGCTGGAATTGGGCTGGGGCTGGGAACCTAATGCAGCACTGCAGTGGATTGTAACTGATATCTCCATTGCCAGGTCAAAGGCCTACTTTCAGTCTTCTTTTCTTGCTTTCATGTCTTTTCTGAGCTTTCCATGCACAGGTGTTGAATGTTTGTTGTGAGTTGGGAATTAATACACTAAGATACTGTGGAAGGAAGAAGAATCACACAAGTGCCTATAGGAAGTTTGGAAATGAGTGGGCTACTTTGGCTATGAAAAGTTAATCATATGTTCTTATGCATCTGTCTCACATTTACTGAGTGATTTGCTGTGTACTAGGTACAAATCTGGTAGCTTTGTCTGTTATGCCTTATTTAATCTTCACAACACTATGACATGGATACTTCTGTTAATTCTTACCTTACATATGAGGCAGCAGGGGCATAGGACAGTTAAGGAAATGACCAAAGTTAGATGGGTAGAAAGTGCTAGACACTCATGTGCCAGACCCTCATGTTGCTTTTCCTTTCTGTCCTTTTGTTTATCTACCCAGAAGGGAGTTGAAGCAGTGTACTTTATGAGCCAATTTAGGATATCCGACAGCATTGCTTCCACCTGCTCTGTTTGCTAGAAATGAGATCCCATCCAAGGGGACAATAATTAGACCCCGCCTCTTGAAGGAATGACAATTAAATTTACAGACATGTCTTAAAGCCTCTGCACCTGCTGTTTGAGAGCTGTTATGCAATGCAAGGGTAACAACTGCAAACACATACTATGGTTCTTTTTTTTTTTTTTTAACGATTTATTCATTTTTATTTGAAAGGTTTACAAAGAAAAGGAGAGAGAGGGAAAGGTATGTTTGCTGTTTCATTCCCTAAGTGGCTGCAGTTGCTGGAGCTGAGCCAGTTTGCACTTGATCTTAGCCAAAAGGCTGAAGGGTTGAGCCAGTCTGAAGCCAGGAGCCAAGAACTTCTTCTGGGTCTCCTGCACATGTGCAGAGTTGTTGGCAACGCCCGCGTCGCCACATATTTCCAGCCCCGAGTCGAGCGGAGGGACTCGGATTATGAGACAGACAAGACAGACTAGACACACAACACACTGAGGCTCATTCTTGTGAAGTGAGGCCTTTATTCAAAGTTGAACTCTCTTATATAGTCTGCTTGGCCCCTCCCAGGATCTTCCCAATGGTTAAGCAACACCTAAGCTCCCCCAAGGACATGCAAAAAGGGGAAGCAGGAAGGAGGGAAATTGCAGTCAGGACATACAAAAATGTATCAGGCCATGATTGCCCTTCCTGTTACACCTTTGAGAAACAGCTGAGCTGTGGAGTTAACCCTTGGGAGACCGGGGCCTACACAGAGTCCCAAGGCTTTGGGCCATCCTTTACTGTTTTCCCAGGCCACAAACAGGGAGCTCTATGGAAAGTGGAGCAGCTGGGACATGAACCAGTGCCCATATAGGATCCCGGTGCATGCAAGGTGAAGACTTTAGCCCCCAAGTGTTTGAGATGGACCCAGTTGGTTTTTTTACTAGTTGATAATGACAGTGCTCATTTTGCATATCCATATTATTTAAGGTGTGCACACCAGCTGGGAGGTGTTAATGCAAATGATCATAATTCTGGAAAAGCACAGTGAAACATTCCTCCTGAAGACCTCGGGACGTGCCAGTCACACCAAGGGGTTTTTGCTCTTGGAAGCGGTCCCATAGGGCATTACACTGCACGGTGTTCTTGCCTGATTCTGCGGTTTCTGTTCACTCCTGCTTGGTCCTGTCGCATCCTCCAGGACTGTTCCCCCAAACCACTTCATGCTGCATCTTGCAGCGTTGAGTTCCAGGGCTCCTGTTCCTGTGAGTGGCCTTGGGAGGGTGTCCACAGCCCTCCTCTGACTTCTCCTTGCTGCCATGTCCTACCCTGACAAGTTGTCTTTGTGCATACTTGGCACACCTGACTAAAGTTGTTAGTACCTGTGGAAGCATGTTTATTTCTCATGAAAAGACAGTAGTAGGTGAGGCAGAAATAAACAAGTAGAGAAACCAATGAAATGAGTACAGATTGATGTAAATTCTGTGATGGAAACGAGCAGGACAGTGGCACTGACTGGCCGGAGGTGGGGTCGGCTTGAAATGACATAGTCAGGGACCAGGCAGCCAGAAGGTAAGGATGTCACCTGGAAATCATGGGTGCAGGGAGCTGTTGCAGTTAAAGGAAACATAACTAAGTGTTGGAAATTGTTGGTATGTTTGATGAATAGAAAGGTCTGGTCTAGTAACAGGGTCTATCTCTCTCTGTGCTATCTCAGTCACAGATATTGGTTCTGTGTTTGGTTCAGTCACAGGTTTGGTTCTGTGTTTCTGAACCCTAGCATAGTTTTCTGGCCTAGGGTGGGTATGCAGAAAATGTCTGTTTAATTTCGGTTTGATGATTTTTCTCTGTTTCTTATTCTCCTTTTGCCTTTTCATTTGACATTAGCTACTCTGATCTAGTTTAGATCAATAAAAACACTAAAAATGCTTTTTGGACTTTGGAAGAAAGTGTTTTAGTGACTAATGTTATTTTGTCATGTAATCATTATGTGCATTAATGTCTGCTCCAAGTTAACAATTTTTCGCTAAGATTTATTATTATTATTTATTTAAAAAACATTTTAAAAAAGTCAGATACACAGAGAGGAAGAGAGCGAGAAAGGAAGATCATCCATCTGCTGATTCACTCTCCAAGTGGCCAGAATGGCTGGACATGAGCCTATCTGAAGCCAGGAACCAGGAGCCTCTTTTGGTCTGCCACGCTGGTGCAGGGTCCCAAGGCTCTGGGCCATTCTCTACTGGCTTTTCCCAGTCTACAAGCATGGAGCTGGATGGTAAGCGGGACACCAGGATCCTGGCGTGTGCAAAGCCAGGGCTTTAGCCACTAGGCTACTGTGCCAGGCCCTATTTTGAAAGGCAGAGAAACAGAGGAGACATACAAAGAGTGAGACCTTCCACTGGGCTTGCTTCCCTTGTGGCTGCACGGTCCCATGGAAGGCCATTCTCTGCTGCTTTCCCAGGCACATTAGCTGGGAGTGGGATCAGAGTGCAACCACCAGGACTTGGCTGGATGCCCATATGGCCCCACAAGCAGCAGTATAACTTTAGTACTACAGCAGTTTGTTGTGTTTGTTTTGCTTATTTCTTTTAGATTTTAAAGAATTTATTATTGATTTTTATTGCAAAGTCAGATATACAGAGAGGAGGAGACAGAGAGGAAGATCTTCCATCTCCATCCAATGATTCACTCCCCAAGTGACCACAATGGCTGGAGCTTCCTGAGGATCTTCTTCTGGGTTTCCTGCACGGGTGCAGGGTCCCAAGGCTTTGGGCCGTCCTCGACTGCTTTCCCAGGGAGCTGGATGGGAAATGGAGCTGCCGGGATTAGAACTGGCGCCCATATGGGATCCTGACACTTTCAAGGCGAGGACTTTAGCTGCTGGGCTACCGCGCTGCTCCCAGTTTGATATTTAATGTCTGCTCAAACGTGTTTCTGCATTCCACCTTACGATGATCAGGATTAAGTCCTGCCTTTGTTTTCAATCCAACTTCCAGCAGATCATGTCCCCCTATCCCTCATTTGGATACTGGCTTTTACTGGTAAAGCCTCGGTTCTTATGGCATTTGGGAGACAGCCAGGCAATGGAAGATTACTCTCTTTTTCACACTCCACCTTTTAAGTGAAAAATAAAGCTTAAGAGATATTTTTACTAGCTTCTGATAGGGTGAATGAATGAGGGGGCAAGAGGTGTTTGATCAAGATATCATCTCTTTCTCCCCTCTTTACAGAGAAGATTACATTTTGGGAATTCTTTTCATGTCTCCTCCAGTTTTATCACTATTCGGCAGATCATGTGGTTAGCCAGTCTGCTGTCAAGAAATCTTGTATTTATAGCAGCTGTCATTGGATTGGAGTAGGAAGATTAGTTTCAGGACAGTCTATTCCTTCTGTTCATATGTTTGAGCAGTTAATATATGCATAGTGTCATACTAGGACTTTTGAAAAACGTACTTTGTCGGTCTTGTGTGAGCAGTGTTGACCTGAGGTGCTGGGGCTTATACCTAGGAGGTTCTGATAGTGGAATGAGCTACTGTGGTTTGTGAACGCTTGGTACGACCCAGTTCCTTCAGGAACAGGAGAGCAGGATTTACTTGGTGAGCGCTGGTTGAGTGCCTGGTGTGTGCAAGGTGGTGTGATGGATTAAGGCCAGGCTAACTGCTGTAAGAGTGTGGGGCTAGTGTAGGATTGAAGAGGACACCTTTTACAGATCAAGAAGGCAGGTCTATTCGTTTAGGAAGGATAACACTATACTAGGTGCTGAATACAAGAATGAAAGGGGGAGTAAAGTATGACTGGCCTAAGCTATTGATTGGAAGCATCTGTCCCTGATAATCTCTGCCCCACCCACAAGTCCTCTGTGGGTGTACTTCACTGTGAATTATAGTAAGCCAGTGATGTCCTTCGATTGTGTACTTTTGTCAACTCATTTATGTGATTTTAATAAAATAGTGAAACTTGCTGACTGCGCCAGAGGTCTGTTAGTGATTTGTATATTGCATGGCTTTTCTTTTCTTTCTTTTTTTTTTTTTCTATTTGAGTTTGACAAGTAGAATCATTTTTAAATTTGTGGCAATTGACAGTCCTAATAATTGCTCAGATAATTTGGAACTAGCAATCTTGCTGTATAAAAGGAAAAATATGGTGTTTGTGCTCAGTAAATGTTTGAAAAAAACAAAGAATGAAAGGAAATTATGCCAATCCAAGTTGCAGGGAGAGAGTATAGAACCTAAACTTTCTCAATCCAGAGCTAGAGATCTGATAGATTATATTTTAAAGACTATTGTATAAAACATAAGTTTTAAAAATTTTTTGAATTTATTTTTAGAATGAGCAAAACATTTGTGTGGTTGAAAATTTAAAGATATTGAAAGTGATGCTATAAAAATCTCGTTACTTTGAGCTTCATCCACCCCCACAGTGTTCTTGTATCAGTAAGCTTTGAATGCTGGAAATGGAAACCAGTGTGGATATTTTAACTACAAAAAGACTTAGCATGGAGACAGTTTCTGCAAGGACTCAAGGTGTAGAACTCAGGGTGACTGTGCCTTAGCATTAGCAGATGGAAGCTGGATGGAGCTCTGACACCACTGCTCCTGTTGCCACTTGTACTGTAGTTGTGGCACTCAAGGAGTTGTGACTCTTGTTTGTTGTAGACCAGCAGCATCAGTATCACCTGGAAGCTTTTTAGGTCCTGGCTTGGCCTAGTCAGAATCTGATGAGAGTTCGAGAGGTCCTGACTGGTGTGTGGATCAAGCCACTAACCATGTTATTGGTGTCCCTAATTCAGTCTGGAAGGAGGGTGGAATGGAGGTTGAGGGATCCCATGTATTGAATTGACAAATAACCTTTCCACAGGTACCCATTTTTAGTTCCTTGCATAGCCTTCCAGACACTTCATGAATATATGCAGGAATTTGTAAATGCCTATTGTTTTTCCATCTTGTTTTAAGAGTCAGTATTGTTTTAGCATACACAGTGTTGTGCATAATTTAATGGTACACTGTGGGAGAGCATTCCTGTTATGACATACAGGATTATTTTTATAAAAAGATTTATTTGAAAAAGTAAAATTATAGAGACAGGCAGACAGAGAGGTCTTCCATTTGCTGCTTCACTTCACAGAAAGCTGTAATGGCTAGAGCTGGGTCATGCCGAAGTCAGGAGCCAGGAACTTCTTCCAGGTCTCCTACGGTGGGTCCCAAGCAATTTGACCATCTTCTAATGCTTTCCCAGGAGGATTAGCAGGGAGCTGGATCAGAAGTGGAACAGCCAGGACATGAACGAACACCCATTTTGTGTGCCAGCACTGTGGGAAATAGCTTGATATGTTGTGCCACACCACCAGCCCCTCTTCTTGGTTTTTGTAGCAGCTGCAAGGTAGTCCATTATATATGATTACAGAATGCTTGAGATTGAAATTGTGATACAATCTGAGTCATAGGGTTGTTCTAATTTACAGAATGTTCTTGACTTTTTAAATTTAAAGGTAGGAAGAGAGAGAGAAACATAGATTAGCATTCATTTCTGTTCCCTCAGTGCTGGCCATAGTTGAGATGGCAGCAGGCCATTGCTGGCAGCCAGAACTCAATCCACATCTCCCAGCTAGAAGGCAAGGGCCCAGCTACTTGCAGTTGGTGCCTCTCACATGCTTTTGTATATATCATCACATGTTAGCTGTACCGCGGTCATGTATGCTTCCCATGCTTTACTTGAGGAAATAGACTCTGAAACGTTAATTTATTTTTAAATTATTTGTTTATATAAGAGAACGGGTGGTGGGGAAGGGAACTCTTCATCCGCTGGCTCAGTCCCTTATAATAGCTGTGATAGGCGAGTCCAAAGCTGGGCGCCAGGAAGTCAACTTGAGTCTCTCATGAGGGTGGCTGGAAACAAACTCTGGTGTCATCATCGCTGCTGCTCCACAGCCGGTGCATGCGTAGGATGCGGGAGTCAGGAGTCAGAGCCAGTTCTTGACCCTCGTCATTCGTATATGGAATGCAGGCATACCATCTGTTGTCTTAACTCATAGAGCAAACACTCACCCTCTGAAAGATTAGTGGCATAGTTTATAAAGTAATGAATGTCCAGGTTGCATTTCAACCATATGTCTGTTATCCTTTCTGCTTTGTTAGTAGATCTGGTTACATAGTTTCTAAATGGTAGGCCTGTGATACTTGGCTAGATCTGCTTCTTTGTGAAGAGATGTGCAAGCATACCATTCTGGATATTTGTGGGTGGTATTAAAGGGATTTTGAATTTTGTTTTCTGACTCAGGTATCCAGCTCACATAGAAGACATTGACTACGAAGAAGGAAAAGTGCTGATCCATTTCAAGCGTTGGAATCATCGTTATGATGAGTGGTTCTGCTGGGACAGTCCTTATTTACGTCCGTTAGAAAAAATACAGCTGAGGAAGGAGGGCTTACATGAAGAGGACGGATCTTCTGTGAGTTAACAAATCTGGGCTGTTCTACATTGAGAGGGGCCAGCCGTTAGGCAGCTGGCATTCAGCTTTTGGTGTTGGTTGTGGAGAAAGGTACCTCTTGGAACCCAACTTTGTTCAGCCCACGGTTGTGACCCTGAGATCCGGTGCACCTGGGCTCTTGGCAAACTAAACTGATTTGGTTAAGACTGCTTAACAATGAACCATGACCTTATTAATCTCTTATGGCATTGCTGTGTAAAAACAAGCAGGGCCCGGCACGATAGCGGAGTGGTTAAAGTCCTTGTCTTGCACACCCGGGATCCCATATGGGCACCGGTTCTAATCCCAGTGGTCCTGCTTCCCATCCAGCTCCTGCTTGTGGCCTGGGAAAGCAGTTGAGGATGTTCCAAAGTTTTGGGACCCTGCATGCACGTGGGAGACCCGGGAGAGCTCCTGGCTTCTGGCTTAGGATTGGCTCAGCTCCAGCCGTTGTGGTCACTTGAGGAGTGAACCATCGGACAGAAGATCTTCCTCTCTGTCTCTCTTCCTCTCTGTATATCTGATTTTGTAATAAAAATAAATAAATCTTTAAAAACAAAGAAAAACAATTTAAAAAATTAAAAAAAGAAAAAAAAAAAAGAAATTGCTGTTCCTAGTCTCCAGCACACTGCCTAACCCCTAGTAGATCTTTAACAAATAATTGTTGATTAAGTGATTGAATGATTGAGTTTAGACTCATTGTGTCTAGTATTCTAGGAATTGTGAAGGACTAGACCATTTATTAAGTAATTATTCCATGTGGAACACTGCTGGTTTCATATACAAAAATCTTGTGTTTTCTTTTTTTAAAGATTTATTCAGAAAATCAGGGTTTTTTTTGTGTGTGTATGTATATATATATATATATATTTTTTTTTTTTTTTTTTTTGAGATCTTTCTTCTGTTGGTTCACCCCCCAGATGACTGCAATGCCAATTGCTAGACTAGGGCAAAACAAGGGACCAGGAGCTTCATCCATGAAGGTGGCGGGGGATTAAACTTTTCCCAAACTATTGGCAGAGAGGTAGTCCGAAGTGGAGCAGCCAGGACAGCACCTGGCACCACCACCATGGCATGCTGGATTTGCAGGTGGTGGCTGTATCATCCACTTTGCCACCTGTCATATCCACTTTGACTGACCCTGTCATATACAAAGTCTTTCATATCATTGAAAAAACAGTTGAACAGCATTCCTGCTCTCTAAATTTCTTCACTGTGCCTTGAGCTTTTGCTGAATTCAGAATGATGTAAGTTTGCTGAAAGGATTTTTGTTTTTGCTTGAAGGGACAAGTCAGAGATGCCAAGTCATCTCTTACAGAAGGGCCTAGTCAGCTCTTCTGTCCACTGGTTCACTCTCCAGTTACCTGCAATAGCCTACAGCTCCATCTGGACCATCACCGGCTGCTTCCCAGGGTGTGCAGTAGTAGGGAGCTGGCATTGGGAACAGAGCAGGGAGTTGCTCCCAGGCATCCAACAGGGGATGTGGGCTGCTGAAGTGATGTCTTCACCACTGTGCCAAATACCTGTCCCTGGTTTCAGCCTTTTAGAAATAAGCATTGAGACCTCTGGTATTGTTACTGGTTTTGGTTTTGATTCAGCCTTGGGTTTTAACCTTGACTGGGCAGCTTGAAATCTTGCTGAACCTTCTCACTTTGTCACTGCCACTCAAAAAGGACACCTGGAGGGCTCCTGGTTTTGGCCATTGCAGCCGTTTGAGGAGTAAACAATCAAATGGAAGATCTCTCTCTCATCTGCTCCACAACCCCCCCCCCCCATTTATCTTTTTCATATTCTTTGTAGCTCTACTTTTCAAATAAGGAACTAAATTTTAAAAAGTGAGAGTCTGTCTTGGCATAAGATCTTAAAATTGTGGGTGTTATAAATGCTGCTTCCCTGAAGATGAGCCGGCCTCATCCCCGCCAGCTTCTCTACCGCTGTGTCCTTTGTTGGTGCTGGTTTCTGAGCTTGCTTTCACTGTGCATCCTGGGTAGGGTTGGGTTATCCCCAGGGCGGTGCTGTGTTAGGTTGTCCCGCTTGATGAGGCCTTGTGTCGCAGCCCATTGTTCTGGTTCCCGTGTGAGACAGCAGAAACATCTTCTTCCCTTTCAGCAGCTGTTTCTTTTTTTCATCCTAGCCTCTTGGGTGAATTCTGTTACAGTGTTTGTTCTATAAAATTCATTTTCTAATGGTTTTTTGTTTGTTTGTTTTAGGAATTTCAAATAAACGAGCAAGTTCTTGCTTGCTGGTCTGACTGTCGTTTTTACCCAGCCAAAGTCACTGCTGTTAACAAGGATGGTAAGGCATTTGGGTTGTTATTTACTTTGAACTTAGGGGGGATATTAGAGTTTGATAGTGTATTTGCAGTATTTGTTCTCAGGTATCTTCAAGCTAATCACCATGTCAGGCATGAGGAAGAGATTAGAAACAAAAAGAAAAGCTGGAACAAAGGGGATGCTTGACTCTTGTCTCTGAGTTTCTTTCATTGTTTTCCAAACAGTGATAGCTTGGTTAGCATTCTGGGATATTTGCAGGTTTTTGCTGTCTAGGAGTGCATCGTGTCACTGATTACATAAAACCCTTAATGTTCTTTTTACATGTTCATGTTATAGATGAATTAGAAACAGTTCAAAATGTGCTCTGTGGATGTAGAGAGGCTGAGGGCGGTTCATCACATCCAGGCTGCTGGGGGTTTAAAGTACTCAGTTGGTTACCTTTGCTAGTTCACAAGTTATAAGAAGACAGGACAGGAACCTTGACCCAGAGAAGCTCATTTTGCTAGCATGAAGGCTGGAGCAAGGTTCTGAGGAGGATATGTATTGTCAGGATCCTGGTGATCACAAAATAGACTCTGGTGTCAGAGAAAGCTATTTAGTACGTGTCTCTTAGGAAGTTTGTGGTGGTTCGTCATGTTTGATGTGAGGGTTTAGGGTTGTCTGGCTTCTTAGTGCTGCCATTAGAGGGTTGACAGACTGTATTGAGTTTCCAGGTGTTATTTAGGTATGTATTTGGTGCCCTGCTAAATATTAAGCTGACTAAATTCTGTCTAATAGTGGTTGAAACTGTCAAGAAATAACTTGAAAAGCAGAGATGTATTCTCTGAGTTGCCTAAGCAGTTTTTGATCCTTGGTTTCATGGCTGAGTCTTTTTGGACCCCCCCCCCCCCCCCCGTTTCCCTGAGCTACTTTTGTGAGTTTATATTCAAAACCAAATAATTTGTTACTAGTTTTCTGATTTATCATGTTAAGAAAACTTATTTTATGGGTAGGCTTTCATATTTGTTTATTTGAGAGAGAGAGCTTCCTTTATTGTTTCACTCCTCAAATGGCTGCCATAGTTCCAGGGCATTGGATCTTAATCCCAGCCTTCCACCTGGGTGACAGGAAGCCACGTGCTTGAGGCGTGCTACTGCCTAGGACTCCGACCCAGAAGGACTGACATGGGATGTGGGGATCTTCTCTGCTAGGCCAAATGGACATCCCAGCTTATCTATTAGTAAATTGCCTCAGTCCTTAAACCAAGTGTGCTTTTTCTGATTCTTGTTTCAAGATTAAGTTTCTTACTGGCTTTTGAAATTATATGGGATGAAGTCCAAGTATTATTCTTAACATGTAAATCTTTCCTGTTAAGTTCTTCGGATGCTTTATGGTGAGCAAGCCCTGTTTTACCTCTTGGTAGCCAGAAGGGGTGTGATTTTCTTTTAGTCAGGTGACAGTCCTGGGTAGTAATACGGGTAACTGCAGGTGGAGGTTTGTTCGAGGGATGTTCTTCCATCCCATGGGGATGTAGGTGGGGCTGAATAGAAGAATGGCTAAGGAGGCGTTGAGGAAGAGGGGTTTAGGGGCTGGGGAGCTGTCACCTTGGTGGAGGCAGTAAAGGCTTGAAAGCTGCTTGTTTGTACCTTTCCATCTGCAGGGGTCAGAGCCTGGTATTATGGATTAAAAAAAAGAAGAGTTCGTTCAAGATAGAATCAAGTCGATATAAAATGTAGAATAGAGCTGTGTGCTGCAGGCAGGGTGGTGCTGGGGGGGCAGTGGGCGGTTATACCTGTATACAGTTTTGTGTGGGGGATAGTTCTGAAATAGATGCTCATTTAAGGACTAAAAGTCACTGGTGATCAATTAATTTCAATTTTCTAAATTTTTCTTGGAAAGGCAGATTTACAGACAGAAGTAGAGACAGAGAGGAAGATCTTCCATCCAATGGTTCACTCCCCAAGTGGCTGCAATGGCTGGAGCTGAGCTCATCCAAAGCCAGGAGCCAGGAGCTTCTGGGTCTCCCATGTGGGTGCAGGGTCCCAAGGCTTTGGGCCGTCCTCCACTGTTTTCGCAGGGCACAAGCAGGCAGCTGGATGGGAAGCAGGGCTGCCAGGATTAGAACTGGTACTCATATGGGATCCCAGGGCATGCAAGGGGAGGACTTTAGCCACTAGACTACCATGCCAGGCCCTACTGAGGAATCTTAATAGGAGCTAGGCCAAACTAAGCAATAACTTAAAGAGATGTGGTAGTTTAGAAATAGGGAAATAGCCTTTTTATCTGATATGGTTGTTTGACAGTGGAAGTTTATTTTTTATATACAATTTTCAAAAAAAAATTTATTCTTTTTTTGTTAGAAAGATTTATAGAGAGAAGAAGAGGCAGAAAGAAATATCCTCCATTCACTGCTTCATTCTCCACTTGGCCCCAACGGCTGAAACTGAGCCAATCCAAAGCCGGGAACCAGCAGCCTCTTTGAGTCTCCCACATGGGCTCAGGGACCGCCATGCGGGTACAGTCCCAAGGTGTTGGGCCATTCTCTACTGTTTTCTCAGGCCACAAGTAGAGAGCTGGATGAAAAGTGGAGCAGGCAGTACACAAACCAGTGCCCATATGGGATCTTGGTGTGTGCAAGGCGAGGACCCCAGCCATTAGGCCATCGCACGAGGCCCATTTCTTTTGTTATTTCAAAAGAGATTTATTTACTTGAAAGGCAGAGTTAGCGAGGGAGAGAAACAATTGATCTTCCATCTGGAAGATGAGAGAGAGAGAATGAGCAAGAACATTGATTTTCCATCTGCTGCTTCACACCTCAAACAGCTACATTGGCTGGGGCAGGCCAGGCTGAAGCCAAAAGCCTGGAACTCTATTCAGATGTCTTACGTGGGTGTAGGCACCTAGCTTGTGGGTCCACTCACTGCCTTCCAAGGTGCATTAGAAGGGAGCTCAATTGGGAATGAAGCAGGCGGCACTTGACCTGGTGCTCATATGGGATTGCTGGTGGTTTAACCTGCTGCATCATTTAGTGTGAAGATAGTGGGAGTTGCTAGCTAGCCTTGTTAATCCTCCTGTATTGGAATAAAAAGTCAGGATTCTGCCTTTGGGAAATCTTTGGAAGCTCTGTCTGATATAATGTGATATGACATGGACTGTCTGCTGGGGCTGCTAGGCTCCCCATTTTTTATACAGCTTGGCCAGGCCAGCTTCCATTAGGGACCTATGCCGTGATGGTGCTGCACTCTGCTCTGTAAGGCATTCTTTTTGGGGAGACTGCAGGTATTTAATGTTTATGACAAAACAAGACCCTGTTTCTTGCTGTTGATGCATGGTTCTGTTTTTTTAACTATTATTTTATAATCTTTACATAGGTGATTAGGGCACAAAGGGTCAAGGGGTACAGGAAAGTGGGTAAGACCATTGTTATTATTATTATTTTTTGTATCTGGGGTAAGTGGGCAGATAAAGGGAGAAGCCCCATCCAGCTTTCCACCCATCCCAGGGTCCCCGATATGAGGTATGATGCATGGGTCTTTAGTGAGCAAGCAGGTGCACTGAGTCTCTCTTACTGAAAATAGGTGCAGTTTTTGTGTTGCATATACTCTGCTTCAGCAGTTCAGTCCATGGGCCAGTGCCTACCGTCCGTGCTTGTAACGTGTAATGTTATGGAAATGGGCTTATTTCTAGACTCTGTAGCTGAGTGAGTTCCTAGTTTTTGTTTTATGTAAGCTGTTACTGATCCTGCATTGGAAATACCAAGAGATTGACCGGTTTTGCATAGAGATAAAAGGAGTATTTCAGGCCCACACATACAGATGCTGGCGTGGCTCTTCTGTGGTTGGATAGGGATTGGTGCTTCCCTTGTAGAGTGATTTGGTGGCTGATAATAAGCGCTTATTGATCCCTTCCTCTGCCACAAGCCCTATGCTGGGTAACTTCTATGTCTTACCTCATTTTGACTTTGTACAAACATGGAAAGGTTGTTGTCATCAACCTCATTCTAACAGACGAGGAACTAAGCTCATAGAAGAAACTGCTTAAGGTTACAAGGCATGGAAGCAGTTGAGCTGAGATTGGAATGAGCCTGCTGGGGCTCCAGTGTTCCTGAGGTGCAGGTCCCTCAGTGCTCAGCTGGTCCCCATTCCTCCCCACCCTCTGCCACGAGCAGGGTTTTCCTAACAGGGTAAGATTATCAAGTAGGTTTAGGCGTGCATGTGCTGCTGGGTTATGGTTGGGTGGTCTGTGGAGCCCAATTTTGTCTTGGAATCCCTAATTTGGAGTCCAGCTCTGATCTAGTCCCTGCTCCTACAGTCAGGGCAGTTGATGACCCTTGCTGTGGACTCACTTGAGTAGCTGGAAAAGGAAGAGGGAATAGACAAATGTATTTTGAAATTATAGGAAGAACCTATGTTCCGTCTGCATTTTGGCAATCTCTGCTAGCTGGAGAACCAGGGTGTGTGAGAATAAGCCTTGTGTTAGATTTCAGGAGCAATGGAAATCTGTTCAATCCCGAATTGAATCTAGTGTAGTTGAACTTTAGTTTTTTTAAAAAAATGATTTATTTATTTCAAAGGCTCCAGTTTTGTTTGTTTTTCTTACACTCCTATTACTGGTTGCTATCAAATTGTCTGAAATGCTGAATTCTCACCCCTCAGAAGAGGGGCAGATGTTTTGTTTCACATGGCTGATTTAGGGGAGCCTGAGGCAGGTAACCCTTGCATCAAGTTAGAGCAGACACAGCAGGGTGTGCTTGTTTCAAGTTCTGTCATTTCTGGCCAGGAGAGCTTTCTTATCCATTGTGAGGATTCCGTGAGGTGTTCCTTTTTTCATTTGTGAGACCCTTAAGGTAGATTTGGGACCTGTCTCCAGAATTGGCCTAGGCCATAGTTGTTGGTCATTTCAAAGTAGCCAGTAGCCAGTAAGGCTCTGGGTCTGTAGTTTGCTTAGGCAGTGGGCAGCGAGGATGGTGGGAGAAGAATGGTTAGAGTTCTATAGGTGAGCCCAGGTTCTAATCCTTGGCTGTCAGACTATGGAGCTTGAGATCCTTGCATCCACGGCCACCTTTTGGAACCTGCTGTCAGAAGTGGGCCTCAAAATTAATCTCAAAGAGCTGAAAAGGTTGGACTCATGGATAGTATTACAAGATGTTATTGATTTAGATACTGAAAGTGTTCATGAAAGTGAGTTTTTGTTTTGCTGTAACAAACTTTCTTTGACAATAAATAGTTGAAATGGTAGATTTGTGTGGCCTGGTAACCCATCTTGTATTGAACATTTCGTCAAAGCTGGATTCTGAAAGCTCCTATCCCTTATTTAATCCCCACACTGGCCAAAGCTGCATGCATTAGGGGTGCCTGTGAATCATCTTTTTAGAACTTATAATACTGCTTTTTCTTTACTCGTTTACTTGCCAACACCCTCTTGATATAGGCAGGGAAAAACAGGAACCCAGACCTTGAATGTTAAGTACTCACAAATCATCACTGAACTGCTTCATGTCGAGATTTGTCTTGGTGTCCTTGGGCTTCCTTCATCACAAGCTTTCACCTAATTTCTGGGATTGTACCTGACCAAGCCTAGCCTGAGTGTGTATACCCTTATGGTTGGTTTGCTCACCAGTTTCATTCCATATTGGTGATTACTTGTGGTAATAGCGTTTGGTAATTGCCAGGAGTAAAAGGTCTGTAGATAATGGCTGATCGTTTTCTGCAGTGGTGCTAATCAGTCACCTGGCGGACTTGTTACAGCCTCTCTGAACCTGTTTGCAGAGTTTGTGATTCAGTTTATCTGAGGTGGGGCTAGTAACTTGGATTTTTGGCAAGTTCTCGGATGTTGCTAATACCGTTGGTCTAGGGACCATATTTACCTAAAGGTAGATCAGGTGAGAAGTTCTGCAGTTAAGATGCCAAGTGAATCAGAAATTCAGAGCTAGAGAAAATCACCAGTAGCTGACAAAGGAGGAAACTTACAGAGTGCTGTGGGTTCTTTGAGCTGGGCACTTAAGGATCTTCGAGTGTCACATTTCAGGTAGGTAACACTGATGAATGTGGAGATGGAAATGATGCTGGCAATTTCAGTGAGTAGTTAAGTCATTGATCACTTTGAGTTAGAGAGTATTGGATGCTGGCAATGAGAAAGATAGGGAAAATAATTGGATCCAGATTGCACTGGACTGTGAGTAACAGAGAGGCCGATTTTTGGACTTGATTTGGCAGTGGTGCCTGGACATTGACCAGGCCCTGTTGAAGTCAGGAGGAGCAGTGGGATGGGGAGGCAGTGTGCAAGAAAGAAGGAACTAGGCCATTTTAACTTCCATTTTAACACTCAGCATCAGTTTTTTTTTTTTTTCTTGGATTGTAAAGGAGATAGGGAATTGGTCCTGAAAAAACCATGTTTACCACTGATTAACCGTTTTTATGTGATTCACAGGTAATTTTAAATACTAGAGATGTTAAAATCTTGATTTTGCCAAGAATGCAAAATTTTGAAAGTATTGGTTTGGATGTAATAAGTGAGGACTTTTGTAGTTGGAAGGAGTATTTGAAAAGAATTATTTGGGTTTCCAGTTTGATATATTTGTTTTTAGCAAAGAGTGATCCTTAGTAAGCAGTTTTTGTGATTGGCAAGGGGGGTGTGGACTGACTATAGAGCTGGCAGTATTTAGTGTTTGACCAAGTCTCTGTCTTAAAATATGAGAATATAGAGGTAATTCATTTGAATTTGGGGATTAATTCAGCCTCTAAGTACTTGATATTGTTGATAGAACGATTATGTTTCCTTCATTATGCTGTTTGAGAATTTGAGATGCAGCAGAGAGAAAGAAAGTGTTCCTGTTCCCCGCTCACACCCCAGATGCCTGCAGGTCAAAGCTGGGAGCCAGGAGCTCAATCCAGATCCCCCCTGTGGTGGGGGTACCATATCTTCTCCAACAGCTGGGATTAGCAGCTGGAGCTGGGACTAGGGTCGAAGTTCTCCGTTGTGGCTTCTGACCTGCTGTCTTAGCTTCTAAGTCTGGCTTTCAAGTTCATCCTAAAATTTAAAATACAATACTATCCTGAGCCCAGAAAATGAAATTATTAAAAAGGAGATTCATTGGGGAATAAGTCTTCCTTCTCCTCACATTCTTCATTGTTTTACTGCTCTTTGTACTAAATTTATTGCAAGTTTTTATTTTAATGAAGCACCATACATATGAGTTACATTTTGTGGATTTTGATTTGTATAGATAAAATGAAAGCTATGTAATCTTGATTGGAAATGAAGGCTAGCATATGATTAATATTGTGTCTATAAGTAGTAAATATGGTTTGCAAAGAATTGTTTAACACAAACAAGCTTATTGTGTGATTGGAGTTTTTTTATACTCTGAAAATTTACTGCTTTCATGAAACTGAGATAAAATCATATCTTCTTGAATTTTAGGTACTTACACTGTGAAATTTTATGATGGCATAGTTCAGACTGTCAAACATATTCATGTCAAAGCTTTTTCCAAAGATCAGGTGAGAAATGTGGCCTTGTGCTTTGTAGTGTGTCTAATGCTAACATTGTAGTTCTGTTTCTCCAGTTAAATCATTATGCTTGTGTATGATGCAGGCCTTGACATAATTTCATCAGAATAACATGCAGGTTTTCAGAAGTTGTGAATATTTGTTTCTTTGCCCTTTCCATTTAACTCGTTTTTTGGCCTCTTACCTCTTTTCTTCACTTTTCTCAAAAACGTCTGTTATTCTTTTTTTCCTGCTCTCCATACACTGTCTTCAGAGCTGTTTCTATCACAGGAGACTTGAGACCCAGAACATGTTCTTCCCTGATCTGGCTTTGTTCTTCAGCTTACAACCCTGACATTGGGCCTACTTTTTGGCTTTGGTTTAAAAGATTCTTGTACTTTGATGTTTCTTGTTTGAGAATATAGAAATGTTTTGAAATTCATTGTATTATTTTACTTGAAAGTCAGAGTTAGAGCGAAAAAGATGGAGATCTTCCATCCACTCATTTGCTCTCCAGTGGCTGCCATGGACAGAGGTGGGCCAGTCCAAAACTGGGAGCCAGGAGCTTTTTCCGAGTCTCCTGTATGGGTACAGGGGCCCACTAAGAGTGCTTGTTCTTATAAGTGGCTTCTTTCAGAATAATTTCTGTGACTTGAAAAGATATTTCATTCTTACTGTCTTTGCCTGTGGTACAAATTAAACTTTTGCATGCCAAGTATTTAGGTATACTTGATTGTTTGTGTCAGAAATCAGTGTGCCCAGTATGTGTTGTACATTGGGGATCCCCTAAAAATGAGGAATGGGAGTTGGCTGTTCTTGATGTCTTGAGAGATACATTATAGTTTTCAGAGCCATTTTATTATGAGTCACATTAAGATGCAAAATTTTTTTTGGTTGAACTTTTTAAAGAAAGTCAAAGTTAACACAAACACACTAACAGAGAGAGAGGAATGGAGGGTGAAAGGGAGAGGTAGAAAGAGAGAAAAAAGTATACATCATTTCATCTGCTGGTTCACTTCTCAAATGACCCATCAGCCATGTCTCATCGAGGCAGGACTCAGGAGACAGGATCTTCTTCCAGAGCACCCACATGAGTGCAGCGGCCCAAGCAGTTGGGCCTTCTGCTGCTTTCCCAGGCATATTAGCCAGGAGCTGGATTAGAAATAGAGTAGCCAGCACTCAGACTGGTACTCATGTGGGATGCTGCTGCTGCAGGTGGCAGTTCAATCTACCATAAAACAGTGCTGGCCTCTGCTAGGATGAATTTCAGAGGAAGTTGTTTAAGAAGAAAGTAACCAAGAAGCAGTACTTGCTGTCCTATCAATGGACAGATGACAAGAGTTGCTCAGAAATATAGCAGATGACTTCACCAGGTAGCTCCTTTACCCAGCAGAGGAAGCCGAGACCCTGGTTCTGGGTCGGGCATGTTTTTGCTTTCCTGTTCAGCCTGCATTTGCCAGCTGGGGTCTTTATGTAAGGTTTCAGCATATGCTGGAAAACTGAGCCAAGCCTCTGAACAACCCTGGGTCAGCAGGGCCATGTTGGGCATCAGGGTAGAGCATACAGGCTTTTTTTTTTTTAGAATGTCTCTGTCAGAAAAGAACCCTGGGGTGGCTGGCTGACTCTTTTCTAGGAACTTCATCACAACAAAGGAGGCAATTGCAATGGCAGTTGTTTTCTTTAAGCTTAGTGCTCTCAAAACGCAGAATACAGGTGGCCATTTTTAGTGGTGCTTGGTGTTGTGTGGCCTGATATATTTCGTCTTTGAGTTTGTCTTCATACATTTGCAAAGACCTCCTACTTTTGTATTTGCAAGTAATCACAAAGTATGTTTCATCGCTATTTTGCTCATTTTAGAATATTGTGGGTAATGCTAGGCCTAAAGAAACAGATGACAAAAGTCTTTCACCATCTCCTGATAAACAAGTGAAGTTTAAAGAGCAGAGAAAAGCTGTGGTCAGAGTGAAGAAAGACAAAGAGGACAAAGTCTTCAAAGCCGAAAAGCGACCCAGGCAACCTGACAAAGAAGGAAAGTTAATCTGTTGTGAAAAGGGAAAGGCAGCCGAGAAAAGCCTTCCCAAGAACGAGAAGGAAGACAAAGAGAACATTTCAGAGAATGACAGGGAGTATTCCAGAGACAGCCAGGTGGATAAGAAGCCAGAAGACGACATTGTGAAGAGTCCGCAGGAGAAGCTGAGAGAGCCAAAAAGAAGACGAGGCCGACCCCCTTCCATAGCTCCTACGGGTGAGTTTCCCAAGTGGGTTCTGCAATGGGCAATAACAGCGTGTTCTTCTGTGGCATTTGGAGTTTTCTGTCACTGCTGTATGTGAGCCCTTTGTTTTTGTGTCTGACTTTGAATCACCTTGCGACCGGAAAGCCAGTTGTATCTGTGGAGCTGGAGATGAACACTACACATCTAGCTGGAAGTAATCAGGGGTTGTGTCCATTGCTAAGCTTCTGGGATAATAGTTAATTGTTAATTAAATGCTTTGTCTTCTGTATTAAAACCTTCTGCTTTATTCAGAAGAATTCAGTTTGTCATCTCCCCACCCCAACCCCACTCTTTTTAGTGATCTAAGTTTAAGGAAGCTTAATAGAACCTGGGACTAGGAGACAGTAATTTTAATGAGAAAGCCATCAAAGGACTTAAAGGAGGAATTGAAGGCTGTGTGCTTTGGCAGCAGGGGTGGGGAAGTGGGGTGGTGGTGGTGTGCAGGACCGGAGGAGGAGTTACAGGCTGTGGGCTTTGGCAGGGGGCAGGACCAAAGCAGCACTGGAGCTAGGGAGGCATGTATACATTTGATTTTGAGGTTTCTAGGAGGCGATTGGAGATCTTCACAGTATAAATAGAAGGCAGAGCTGGCTAATTCGTAATAATAAAGGTTGGAGAGTATGGATATAGTGAAGAATGTATTGTTTCTAAAAAAAAAAAAAGGCAGTTGACATTTGCAATTATTAAACAAAGACCTAGAATGAGATAAACTTCAGTTGATTCCAACTCAGTTACCTTATTTTTCAAATCAGTGGTGTCAAGAATCTCACATGGTTCTCTCAACTTAGGGCATTGGTGTTCAGATATTTGTTCTCAGATTGATGTATTCGAGACAGACAGACACACATACACACATCTCCCATTCCTTGGTTTTCTCCCCAGATGACTGCAATCGGTCAAGCTGAGGTAGGCCAGAGTCAGGAGCTGAAAATGAACATTCCACTAAGTGGCAGGATACTTAAGCCATCATCTCTACTGCCTCTGAGGGTCTGCACTGGCAGGAATCTGGAGTTAAAAGCTGGATCCAGGGAAGTGAACTCTGATGAAGGATGTTGGTGCCTTAGCTGCTAGGCTAAGCACCTGCTCCAATGTTCAGATAGACTTTCTTGCATATTCATTGCATGAATATTGAACAGCTGGCTTGCTCACATTTTGAAGCAATATCTATTTTTTCCTCAAAAGTGTAAATGTTGAAATCTGTATTTAAAGCATAAAATTTGACACAAAATTATGGAAACTACAGAGTAAGTGCATACATTGTTCTCTGATGATTTGGAATATACATTAGCCCTCACTATCAAATCAGACTGCTATATCAGACTTGCTTTCATAAAATTTTAATCTGCTTCAAATAAATTTATTAGTAATCAGTCTCAATAAATGTTACATATAAGTTAAAATATTAATATAGGAAGTTAGGTAATGAATTGATTTGTCTCTAGATGAAGTAAGGTGGTTTCTCCTTCAGTGGTTGTCAGTGGGTTTTACTCTCAAGGGCTATACATGTTGGATGTAACCTAGTCCTCTGGGGTCCACCATGATAGCCAGTGGCCATGTGTGATTCTTGGACAGTTGAAATGTAGTTACTTGTTTTGAGATGTACTGTAAATATAAAATAATGACTGGATACTTAGTCCTCAAAATGTAAAATATCTCAATAAGCTTTTTATATCAGTAACGTTGAAACATTTTTAGTATGTTAGGTTAATAAAATATAGTCTTAAAATTCTCACTGTTGGGGTCAGCACATGGACTCAACTTATTAATCCTCAACCTCCAAGCACCTGCATCCAATATGAGTGCCAGTTCATGTCCCATCTGTTCTGCTTCACATCCAGCTACCTGCTTATGGCCTGGGAAGGCAGCAGAGGATGACATTAAAGCCTTGGGACCCTATATCTGTATGGGAGACTCAGAGGAAGCTCCTGACTCCTGGCTTCAGATCAGCTCAGCTCCAGCTGTTACAGCCATTTGGGGAGTGAACCAGCAGATGGATTATTTTCAATAAAATAAATCTTTAACAAAACTTCGACTTTTCATTTTGTATTTTTGTAAAGAATTAATTTGTTTGAAAGTCCGAATTACAGAGAAAAGGAAGAGTAAGAGAGGCAGAGAGAAATTAATCAATGTCTGGGTGGAGTCAGGCCAAGCTAGAAGCCCAGAGCTTTTTCCTGGCCTCTAATCCCCAGGGGCCCAAGCACTTTGGCCTTCAGCTGCTGCTTTTCCCAAGCTTTTAGAAGGTAGGTGGATTGAAAGTGAAGCAGCCAGGACTTGAACCAGATGGGATGCTGCTATTACAGGTTGCAGCTTTACCCACTGCGCCACAAAGCTCTTAGAGCTTTACTTATTTTTTTTTTTCCTGAGGGGTGTGAGAGGTGTGATGAAAACAATTTGAAAGGCAGAAAATGAGGGAGAAATGGTGAGCCAGATTTTCTATCTGCTGTTTCATTCCCCACATGGCAATAACAGCCAGGGTTAGGCCAGGCTGCAGCCAGGAGCTAGGAGCTTCTTCAGGGTCTCTTATGTATTGCTGGGGCCCAAGGACTTGAGCTGTCTTCTTCTGCTTTCCCAGGTGCATTTTCAGGGAGCTGGATTGGAAATGAAGTATGTGGGACTCAAACTGGCATCCATATAGAATGCCAGCATTGTAGGTGGTGGTTTACCTGTTAAATCATAATGCTAGGGTCTGGCATAGTAGCGTAGTGCCTAAAGTCCTTGTCTTAATCTCACTGGGATCCCATATGGGCACTGGTTCTAATTCCAGCAGCCCCGCTTCCCATCCAGCTTGTTGCCTGGAAAAACAGTTGAGGATGGCCCAAAGCTTTGGGATCCTGCACCCACGTGGGAGACCCTGAAGAGGCTCCTGGCTCCTGACTTGGAATTGGCTCAGCTCCAGCAGCTGCAGCTGCTTGGGGAGTGAACTATCAGGCGGCAAGATCTTCCTCTCTGCTTCTCCTACTCTCTGTATGTCTGATTTTCCAAAATAAATAAATAAATCTTAAAAACAAATAAACATAATGCTAGCCACAAAGTTTCATCTTTGAAAAAGGTTATATTGTGACTACTGAAAAATTTAGATTACATGTGGCTTGTATTTCTGACTCACTCCTGTTTCTGCTGGACAGGAGTAGCCTTAAAAATCATTAGCTTTCGGGGCCCGGCGCGGTGGCACAGTGGTTAAGGTCCTCGCCTTGCACGCCCAGGATCCCATGCGGGCGCCGGTTCTAGCCCAGCAACCTCGCTTCCCTTCCAGCAGAGGACGGCCCAAGGCTTTGGGACCCTACACCCGCGTGGGAGACCCAGAAGAGGCTCCTGGCTTCGGACCGGCATGGCATTGGCCGTTGCGCTCACTTGGGGAGTGAATCATCGGACGGAAGATCTTCCTCTCTGTCTCTCCTTTCTGTATATCTGCCTTTCCAAAAAAAAAGTAATAAAAATAAATCTTTAAAAAAAAATCATCAGCTTTCCTGGGCCCGGTGCGATAACCTCGTCGCTAAAGTCCTCGCCTTGCACACACTGGGATCCCATAGGGTCGTCGGGTCTCATCCCGGCTGTCCTGCTTCCCATTCACCTCCCTGCTTGTGCCCTGAAAACAGTTGAGGACAGCCCAGGGCCTTGGGACCCTGTACCTGTGTGGGAGACCAGAAAGAGCTCCTGGCTCCTGGCTTTTGGCTTTGGATTGGCTCAGCTCCATCTGTTGCGGTTACTTGGGGAGTGAAACATTGGATGGAAAATCTTTCTCTCTGTTCTGTCCTCAGATGAAAAAGTGTGTGTTTCAAGCCTTGTATCATGCAGTGCGTGGTGTTAGCTGTGGGGTGAAAGGCCCTTTTATGTAAAATGAGGAAAGAACAATTATACAAGAAGGGGAAAATGGGAACCTTCGAAATGTGGCATATCTCAGCTTAATTTTGGAAAAAAGGGTATATGAGAATTGAGTGCTTTTTTTTTTAACATACAGTGAACCATTTTTATTAAAATAATCATTATAATCCTCTGCTGAAGCTATGAAAGAATATGCCTTCTGTAATCAAAGTGCTTTTTTAAAATTTTAATTTTTATTGGAAAGTCAGATATACAAAGAGGAGGAGAGACAGATAGGAAGATTCTCTGTTGATTCACTCCCCAAGTGGCTGCAATGGCTGGAGCTGAGCCACTCTACAGCCAGGAGCCAGGAGCTTCTTCCAAGTCACCAATGTGGGTGTTAGGGTCCCAAGGCTCTGGTCCATGCTCAACTGCTTTCCCAGGCCACATAAAGGGAGGTGGATGGGAAGCGGGGCCGCGGGGATTAGAACTGGTGTCCATATGGGATCCGGTGTGTGCAAGGCAAGGACTTTGGCCACCAGGCTGCAACAAGGGACCTAAGAATTGAGTATTTTGAGACCTATTGTCCTTTTAGCAAATCATGCTTTGTTTCATGCCCTCTGGAAATGGTGTCCTGTGCAAGTTATACCCCACTTTGCAGGTTTGCTACTATGAAGCTGTGTGTCTTTACTTAAATAAGGAAAATGAGTATTTTGTTTATTGTATTCATTAATTTATTGCTTTTCCCCCTGTAAGCGTAGAGAAAGGGTGTTTTCTATATTTACCATTTGCCCTGGCTTGAAGGATTTATGAAAACACATTCTAGATTTGTCTTAGTCTTCTCAACAGGATCTCAGGATTGGTTAATGACTTTTCAGATCATTTTTCTTGTAAAAGGAGGTTTTAGAAAACCCTCAAGTTCTGTATAGTTAGCCCCATTTGTACAGTAACAAAATGAGGATGGGTTGCTGAATAATCCCTATATATATATATATATATATATATATATAAATATATGGTTGAAATCTCTTTAAAATCCCTATGTATATATCCCTATGTAAATCCCTATATGTATATATATTGTTGACAAATAATCCCTGTATATATTGTTGAAATCCTTTTAAAAAATTGTGTGGAATGTTTCTTGACTCATTGGGCTCCCTACATTGTACAGATTGGAAAGACGATCGCAGCCATTTAGAGAGGGTTGTTTGTATTTCAGCTTTACTTGTAATGTGCGGTCATCATGTGCCTGTCACTTGGAACAAGATAATGTTAGCGTTTTGGGGAGATTTGACACAGAGCTGAGGTGTTGAGCCCTTGCTAGATTTACTTCGTCTGAATTTGGTGCTGGCGATGCTCAGGCCTTTTGACACAGCTGACTGGAAGCTGCTGGGTTTAGAGCTTTTCTCTGCTCTCCTCCCTTTCTTCCTTCTGTTTGCTCTTTTCTCCACTTTTTTCTCTTTGGACTGCTCAGCCCTGCCTACCTACCAAACCTTCCAAATTCTTTGATTTTTCTGCTTGCCTTTTTTTTTTAAAGATCAATTTTTATTATTTATTTATTTTTATTGGAAAGACGGATGGATATACAGAGAAGAGAGACAGAGAGGAAGATCTTCCGTCCAATGATTCACTCCCCAAGTGAGCGCAACAGCCGGTGATATGCCGATCTGAAACCAGGAGCCTCTTCCGGGTCTCCCATGTGGGTGCAGGGTCCCAAAGCTTTGGGCCGTCCTTGACTGCTTTCCCGGGCGTGCAAGGCAGGGAGCTGGATGGGAAGCGGGGCTGCCGGGATAGAACCGGTGCCCATAGGGATCCTGGGCGTGCAAGGCGAGGACCTTAACCACTTGCACCACTGCCCGGGCCCGCTGCTTGCCTTTTGAATGATCTTTTCTGATGATTTTTTTTCTTAAGCTTTAGGGTTTTTTTTCTTTTTTTAAAGATTTATTTAGTTTTTTTTTTTAAATTGGAAAGTCATGTGCAGAGAGGAGCGACACAAAGAAAGATCCTCTGTCCACCAATTGACCGCACAAGTGGCCACAACAGCCCAAACTGAGCTGATCCGAAGACAGCAACCAGGAGCGCTGGGCCCGGAGTCAGGGTCCAAAGGCTTTGGGCCAGCCTCGACTGCTTTCCCAGACCACAAGCAGGGAGCTGGATGGGAAGTGGGGCTGCTGGGATTGGAACTGGTACCCTCATGGGATCCCGGCCACTAGGCTGCTGTGTCAGGCCCAAGTGTTTTAAAATAAAATTATTCTCTGAGGATTTAGCATTTGCTTTGTTGAATTTTGTCAGCTGGGTTTGAAGGGTCAGTATTTTGCCTGCAGCGTTATCTGTGAAATACTGTGGTTTCCTGCAGTTTTTCTTGGATTGTTTTTAAGAGATTCTAAGTGTTGACTTTCTTTTTGGGCACTCACAACTAAGGTCATTGCCAAGATAATTAATTCAGCAAGTTGTGACTTTATAATAATAAGCAGACCTTAGTCCCAGCACACACATTTTAGGAATTAGCCTGTAGTGGTGAATTTCCTGAGTGTTGAATAGATCAGTTTAATGAAAAGATTTAATTTTATAAAAATAAGTTTGCTGCTGTGCTTGCACCATCCTAATTTAAAGTTGTCATGTTGAGTTGTACTGTCTTGAAGAGTAAATTTCAGGGGAGAAGTGTATAGTTGGAGCTGGATCATAAATAAGAACCCCCACCAAAAAAGATTCAACACGTTGACCTGCAAGGTGTCAGTCAGCATCTCTTAATAGGAAGTTATTTTTTAATTTTCCTTTTTTTTTTAAATGTTAAATAAGGATGTCCATTTGAGAATGTTTGTAATGCAAAAAATGTGTTTGTGTATTTTTGTTTGTGTAAAAATGAAAGATTAGACACAAGAAGTTATACATATTCTTTTGATTTTTTTGTATACATTGTAGCAGTAGATTCAAACTCTCAAACTTTGCAACCAATTACATTGGAATTGAGAAGACGGAAAATATCAAAGGGAAGTGAAGTTCCATTAAAACGTCCTCGACTTGACAAAAATTCATGTAAGTCCAGTTTATGTGTTTAAATATGTAATACTATTTAATTCAGCCTTTGATCTCTCTCTCATTAAAAAATTATTTTATTTATTTGAGAGCAGAGTTACAGAGCAAAAATAAGAAACAGTCAGAAAGAGTCCTCCATCTGCTCATTCACTCCCCAAATGCCTGCCATGGCTAATGTGAGCCTGTCCAAAACCAGGAACCAGGAGGTTCTTCTGAGTCTTCCAGATGCATGCAAGGACCCAAGCTCTGGACCATACTCTTTCTGCTGCTTTCTGTGGCACATCAGCAGGGTGTTGGATTAGAAGTGGAGCAGCCAGGATCTAAACCTGCCTGCACCCATGTGGATGCCAGTATCAAAAACCGAGGCTTGGGGCCTGGTGTGGTAGCCTAGTGACTAAAGTCCTCGCCTTGCATTTGCAGTGTTCCCATATGAGTGCCAGTACTAATTCCAGCTGCTCCAGTTCCATCCCCGTTTCCCTTCCAGTTCCCTGCTTGTGGCCTGGGATAGCAGTTGAGGAAGGCCCAAAGTCTTGGGACCCTGCACCCATGTGGGAGACGTGGAAGAGGCTCCTGGCTCCTGGTTTTGGATTGGCTGAGCTCTGGCCGTTTGTGGCCACTTGCAGTGTTAATCAGTGGATGGAAGACCATTTTCTCTGTCTCTCTTACTTGCTGTGTATATCTGCCTTTTGGATAAAAAGAAATCCTTAAAAAAGAAAGTAGAGGCTTTACTGGCTATGCTACAATGCTGGTTTCTCCTCCTGTTTTATTATTTTTTTTAATTTATATTATTTTTTAAAGATTTATTTATTTATTGCAAAGTCAGATATACAGAGAGGAGGAGAGACAGGAAGATCTTCTGTCTGATGATTCACTCCCCAAGTGAGTGCAACGGCCGATGCTATGCCGATCTGAAGCCAGGAGCCAGGAACTTCTTCCAGGTCTCCCACTCAGGTGCAGGGTCCCAAGGCTTTGGGCTGTCCTTGACTGCTTTCCCAGGCCACAAGCAGGGAGCTGGATGGGAAGTGGAGCTGCCGGGATTAGAACAGGCGCCCATATGCGATCCTAGTGCGTTCAAGGCGAGGACTTCAGTTGCTAGGCCACCGGGCCCTGTTTTATTTTTAAATATTATTTATTTTATTGGATAGTAAGATTTACAGAGAGAGGGAAGGACAGAAAGATCTCTTTCCGTTGGCTGACTCCCCAGGAAGGCACAACAACCAGAATCAGGCAAATTTTATACCAGGAGCCAGGAGCTTCTTCAGAGTCTCCCACATGGGTGCAGGGTCCCAAGGCTTTGGGCCGCCCTCAACTGCTTTCCTAGACCACAAGCAGGGAGCTGGATGGAAAGTGTAGCAGCTAGGGTATGAATCGGTGCCACTATGGGATCCCAGCACATGCAAGATGAGGGCTTTAGCCGCTAGGCCACTGTGCTGGGCCCTTCCCCCTGTTTTCTAATGATTGTATTGTTTGTCTTTGAGCACATGAGCTAATATGAGTGGAATGCGACAGAATCTTCTGTTTTCCACAAACTTGTTAAGGTACCCTTGCTTAAAACTTTATAAATTAGGGTATTGCTTTTTCATCACTAGTTTAACATTCCAGAAAATGTTTGTGTAAACCCTAATCGAGACAGCCAGCCTAGGAAGTATAATTGTGCTTACTGCTTTTTATTGGTCTCTTGATTGCAACTCTTCTAATGGTTTGTAGCCCAGGAAAAGTCAAAAAACTATACAGAAAAGGCTGAGAAAGACTTATCCAGGAGACGGTCCAGCAGGCTGTCCACTAGTGGGACTCAGGAGATCCCAGATCCTGACTTGGCCGGATCAGATTTGGTGGATCGAGTTGATGTAGATCCTTTGCATCACATGCCATCTGATGTCAAGGAGTCTGAAGAAGGTGAGTCCAAGCATTTCTGGAATAGTCTGGCCAGTGTGGTTACTTATCATTACCTTCTGCAAGCACTGCAAGTGGTCCTGAAATCAATTTGTGCTTCTATGTTGTACTTCCTGGCTGATTTGTTGTAGATGGATTAGTGGTTGGTTTTGTTTACCACTAAATGTTGATTCAGAAGCATACCACTGTGTAGCTTCCTTTCTGTTGACAGTTCCCACAATTCCTCCTTTCACTGGGCCCCTTTTCTTGAGATTTCTTCCAGACCTGGTTGTATTTTCCAGAGGCTGACATGAATGGCTTCTTCTAAAAAAAATTGCTGGCTTGCTTAATGTTTTGAGACTTGTGGTTCCCAGATGACATTTGTGTTCCTTAGTCTTTCTTTTTCCTCCATCTTAGGTCGTTTGAAATCTCCATTGGACGCTGGCCAGGTCTCAACAGCACTAACTTGCCACTCCTTAGGGAATGGGTCCGGGGCTGCAGGCCTGGAGCTGAACTGCAAGTCCATGGGAGAAAACACTATGAAAACTGAGGCAGCCTCTCCGCTTGCTGAATTACGAGAGATTTCCACGGTGGAAGGTTCATGTTTAGAGTTGACATTATGCTTTTTCTAAATATGCTTCTATCATTGTGAATTTAAAATGGATTTGCTAATGTTTTTTCACCTTTTCATATTTCCTTTTATGATATACCCTTTTCATTTTCCAATTTTAGTAATGTTTTGCCTGTCTTTCCTTGGTTAGTATGACTAGGAATTTATTTTGTTATGTTTTAAAGAATTAACCTTTTAACTTTTTTCTGTACTTTTTTTCACTCAGCTGTTTTTTTCCTCATAGTTTATTGATTTTTGGTCTTGTTTCCTTTCTAGTGGGAGTTATTTAGTGTTAAACACTTCTCATCAAGTATTGCTTTAGCTGTGTTGTACAGATCTTAGTTATTTTGTATTTTTTTTTTCTCATAGGTTTCAAAATAGTGATTTATTTATTCACAGTGGATCAGTTACAAGTATATTATTTTGGACTGGCTTTTGAACTTACAGTTAAGATGCCAGTTAATATATTTGTGTTCTGTATCAGAGTTCTTGGCCTCATTTCCTGCTAATGCCAACCCTGGAAGGCTCAAGTAGTTGACGGCTCAAGTAGTAGGTTGCCCCCGCCTACACAGAAGGTGCAGGTTGTGTGCGCTCTTCCTGGCTTAGCACCAGCCATTTGAGGTGGAGTTCTGCCTCTACCTCTTTGCTTCTCAAAAGAAATAGATAAAACATGCAAGGAAAGCAAGCATGTTGCATCGTTTTTAAGAATTTAGGGTTTTTATTGTTATTTCAGATGTTACTTTCCTTGTGAATCAGGAAACATACTCTGGTATGCTCAGTCTTTTTATGTTTGTAAAGACATAACGTGGCCTTCCATATGATTTGTCTTGGTAAATAATCTGTATGCATAGGAAGAGAACATGTGTTCTAATTTGTTATGTCTGTTCTTTACCTGCTAATTAGATCAAAGTAGTAGGTGGTGCGTTCCAGTTGATTTTTGTGGCCTTTTTGTGTGTGTCTAGTTCTGTCAGTTACTAAGGGTAAGGGGCGAGATTTCTGTGATTGTGGTCTTGTCTATTTTCTCTTTGATTTTATTGTTTTTAATTCATGTATTTTGAAATTCTTTTGTTAGGTACGTACATATTCATAAGTTCTCTGTATCTTTGGACATGAGTTCTAGGATACCTTTTCAATGCCAAAATCTACCAGTGCTCAGGTCCTTTATTTGAATAGTATAATATTGGCGCATCACCTGTATATGATTCACTTGTATATTCTAAATCATATCTTAAGTTAATTGTAATACATGATACAATCTAAGTGGTATAAAAATAGGTATTATACTTCGTTGTTTAAGGGAAAAAAAATGACATGAAAATGTCCATATTCAGTGCAGATATAATTTTTCCCCGAATATGCTTTTTTTAAGTTTTTTTTTTTTAATGATTTTTACATAGGAGATTAGGGTGCAAAGGGTCAAGGGCTACAGGAAGGTGGGTGAGAGCATCATTTCCACATTCTCTTTTTTTTCCTTTCTGTTTTTAGGAGAAGAGGAAAGATAAGGTGTGAATTCTCCCATTATCTTCCCTAAATATTTTTGATCTATAGTTTGTTGAATCTGTTTGTTTAGCCCACATATACAGAAGGCTGATTGTGTTTATTATAGCTTCCTGGTGAATTGCCCAGTTTATGAAACCTTAGTCTAATTTTGGTAATAGTCTCTGACTTACAGTCAATTCAGTGTGATAATAGTGTAAATACTCAGTTCTTCTTATGATTCCTTGTACCAGCATGTTTTTCTTTTCTTTAAACTTAATGTTTAAAATTAAGTGTGTCCTTCTAGATGGTGTGTAGTTGAATTATTTAGCTTTTTTTTTTTTTTTAAAGGTTAATTTATTTATATTTAAAGGCAAAGTTAGAAAGTGTTTCTACCCACTGGTTCACTCCTGAAATGACCAGGCAAAATCTGGGAGTGGGGAGCTTCATCTGAGTTTCCTGTGTGAGTAGAGGCCCAAGGCCCTGGGCTGTCTTCCACTGCTTCCCCAGACCATTAGCAGGGAGCTGGAATATATAGAATTCACACCTGTGCTCTTATGGAATCCTGATGTCACAGACAGATGCCAATCCTGAACTTTTTTTTTTTAACGATTTTTTTTTCCAGAAAGGTTTTACAGAGAGGAAGAGAGAAAGATCTTCCATCCATTGGTTCACTCCCCAAATGCCCACAGTGGCTGGAGCTGAGCTCATCCAAACCCAGAGTCAGGAGGTCCTTCCAGGTCTCCCATGTGGTTGCAGGGTCCCAAGGACTTGGGCCATCCTTTTTGCTTTCTCAGGTCAAAGCAGGGAGCTGGGTGGGAAGTAGAACAGCTAGCAGCTGGATATGAACCTATACCCATATGTGATGCAGATGCTTGCAGTTAGCCTGATGACCTGCTGCACAAGCCCCTGCCTGAACTTTTAAAATTTCTCTTCTATTCATTAGAGAGATTGTACTGCCATCCTTTAATTTATTCTAGCACTAGCCAACAGTGGGCCAGGCCAAAGCCGGATCTGAGAACTTAATCAGGATTGCCCACATGAGTAGCAGGGACCCAGCCATTACTGATGCATCCCAGGGTCTTTACCAGTGGGAAACTAGAGCCATAAGCTGAGTATTAGGCGAGGCAAGCTATTGGCATCTTTTTTTCCCCTTTTTAAAAAAGATTTATTGATTTTTATTGTAAAGGCAGATATATATAGAGGAGGGACAGAGAGGAAGATCTTTCATCCATTGATTCACTCCCCAAGTGGCCACAATGGCTGAGCTGAGCTAATCTGAAGCCAGGAGCCTGGAGCCTCTTTCATGTCTCCCATGTGAGTGCAGGGTCCCAAGGCTTTGGGCTATCCTCTACTACTTTCCCAGGCCACAAGCGGGGAGCTGGATGGGAAGTATAGTCACCAGGACATGAATCAGCACCCATATGGATCCCAGTGCATGCAAGGTGATGACTTTAGCTGCTAGGCTACCTCGCTGCACCCAGGACGTTGGCATCTTAACTGGTGTGTTAAAATCTTTTAGGATCACAAATGAACTTTTAAAATTCTGTTTTCCACAAACTTGTTAAGGTACCCTTATATTTTCCCTGTTTTGTAGACAGTGGACCTTATAGTGTCAGGGAGCGGCTCATGTTCCACACCTCCCACTGGTTAGTGTTACAGTCGGCTGCTTTTGTCTTCCACGTTAGAACCTAAATCCAGTTGAGATACTGGGTATTGTACACATCAAATGAAGAATTCCTCCTTGAGGGACAGTGCAGAGTGGGATGCTCTGAGGGCCCCCGTTAGAGCTGTATGTCCGCTTGCAGAATGAGAGCCCGGGTTGGAGGAACAGTCTGCAGTGCACATGGTGTTGGTGCTCTCTTGTTATGCAGTACCTCTGGAATTCTTTAATTGAGGAGGAAAATATGTTGATCTGGAAATTTGATGGTGTTCCTGAGTTTAGCAGCAAGGACAGGACAACCCAGAAAGATAGTTTGGAAGGAAGGAGGTCATTGAGAACTCATTCACCAGGAATGTGTTATGTAAGGAAGCAGGAAGTAGGGCAGGATCATCATTGGAATCATCCAGCAAGGCTTCTGCCATTGGCTGTCCTGAGCTGGTGCTACAGCTGTGGTGTTTCTCAGTTGTGGTAGAATTGCTATGTGAGAAATTGTTGTAATGCAGTCTTGTGGGTAGCAGGACAGGCAGGCAGTGGTGGAAGGCTGCACATCTCATCAAGGGTGAAGAGAGAGGCTGCTTGTTGCTCCAGACCAGTTCTGTGTCTTGGGCAGCTCTGCCATCTTGTGGAATAAATGCTCAGGGATTTTTATGGGGGCCAGGAGTGGAGATGTGCATTCTGGGGAATAACCTTGAAGTATTCACCAGCATCACAGATTGCTTTGTTTCCATGTATCCATTCTGTGGACTCCAGGTATTTTTTCTGGGCAGATGTGGGTAAACGCACATACTCATGCACATATACATATATGGTTTAGTATATGTATATGTAGGTATTTTCCCTACATATGGATTTATATGTGTGTATAAAGATTTATTTATTAATCTGAAAGGCCGAATTAGAAAGAGGGATAAGATCTTGCTTCTGCATATTTGCCCCTCAAGTGGCCATAACAGCCAAGGGTAGGCCAGGCCGAAGCCAGGAGCTCAGAATTGCATCTAAGTCTGTTGTGGACTCAAGTGCTTGGTACATCTTCTGTTGATTTCTCAGGTACTTTGGAAGGGGCTGGATCAGAAGCAGGACAGCTGGAACTTGTACTGGCACTTACATATCTGATGCCAGCTGTGCCGCAACTGTGGTCCCTATAATATATTTGTAAATTTCTGCTGTTTTTCATTTAATATTTCCAGACTTCTCTTAATAACTATGGAAGATGAAACTGCACATAAGGAGGTGACCACTGTGTTTCAGTCTCCTCTTGTTTCCCCTTTGCTTTTTTATTCTACGAAACTGAGGACATTATTTCATAGCCCTAAAATGTTTTGTTTGTTATAGTACTTGAAGCTAATGTCAAAAGGTATTGAAACACTCAGCTGCATGGTGTCAGTGCCAAGAACACCCACCACTCAGGGCTTTGGTATTGAGGGACACCAGATCCTGAGAAGTGTCTCTTGCTCTCTGGCTGGAGAGGTGACAAGTCCCAGGATCCATGAGCAGATGCTGAGTGTTGATGATGAAGTGCTGCAGGTTGACACTTGTGCCAGGAGTTGATGGCATGTGGCCCGGAGAGCCAGGGCCAGCCATCTGGACATCTTCCTGCATATGGAGTGAGTCAAATTTTCATGGGAGTAAAGACTTGGCTGAGACAGGGAGGATTGGCTCAGGAATGGCACTGACTGACCAATAGAACTCGACCTTGAGAATGTAAAACAGTGGAGCAGCAGTCAGCCAGGCTTGGAGCTGAGGCCTCACTGTGGATTAACAGGAGATGAGTTTGGAAACCTGGATGGCTTATCGTGAGGCAGGCCTTAAAGGAGACCAGGCTGAACACTGCTAGGCAGATGGGATTGTCTCCATCCTGGTCAGTAGTTTTGGGGATTTTGAGATGCTGTTAGTAGGAATACCAAAAAGATTAAATAGTTCACTTTCTTCAATACAAAATTTCTTAAAAGAAAAGAAAAAAAGTATAAAAATAGTTGAAAGCCTTCTTTTTAAAAATGAATAATGTGCTTATTATTAAAGGAAAAACTTTATTCAAGAATATAGAATGTAAGAGGACTGCTTGTCCCCCTCTATGTTCTGCTAGGTAGCAATATCCCCTTCAACATGGTTGCCTAAACCAACACATTGCTTTCCCAGTTTCTGTGGGTGAGAAGTTCAAGCAGAATAGAATCACCTGCTCTGTAACCTTGTAATCTTGCAGTTGGCCAGCGCTGCAGGGCTACAACTCTGCCAAAAAGGAATCCAGGCTCGTGTGGGTTGGCAGCATATGGTTCCTAGTTGGCTGTCAGATAGAGCTCTCTTTGCTGTCATTCTTGCCTTGGCTGGAGTAGTTTCTAACCTAGAAGCTTGTTTCATCAAGCCAGTGAAGGAGAATATCTACTAGGAAGACAGATGTTATTGTTTTATAATCACAGCATGGACATACTGCCACCTTTTCTGTGTTCCTTTAAAGTGCTGACACACTTGAGGAAGATAAAAAGATGTTAGTACCAAGAGGTGGGATATTAGGAGACTTTTTAATCTTTCTTTTTTAAGGTTTTATTTTTATTGAAAAATCAGATTTACAGAGAGGAGAGACAGGGATAAAGATCTTCCATCTGCTGGTTCATTCCGCATGTGGCTGCAATAGTTGGAGCTGAGTCCGTCCAAAGCCATGGGCCAAGAGCTTCTTTTGGGTCACCCATGCAGGTGCATGGTCCCAAAGGCCTTGGGCCGTCCTCCACTGCTTTCCCAGTTCACAAGCAGGGAGCTAGAAGGGAGGTGGAGTAACTGTGACATGAATATGGGATCCTGGTGCATGTAAGGTGAGGACTTTAGCCACTAGGCTGCTGCACTGGCCTGACCTCTTTTAATCTTCTCCCTATCCCCCAGACGATAGACTTCTTTTTGCCACGATTAAAAGTGAAATCTGTAGGCCATTTTTCTCCATACTTCCCAGTTGTGACAGTCAATGTAGGAGCAGCAGAAGTAAAGAATCACTCTTGAAGTTTTGAGCTTGAGTTCTGCACAGCATGTTGTTTCCTCCAAGCAGAACCGTTAATCATGTTGGCAGTAATATCAACAGCTGTATGAACTTAATGGTTTCTATGCTACTTGCTTGCTTCTTTTTATTGTTGTTCTTTGGGAAGCGGAGTTAGACAGGGAGGGATCGAAAGAGGGTGTGGGAAGAAAGGGAGAGAGAAACAGACAGACATCCTCCATCCTCTGGTTCATTCCCTAAATGACCAAAATGTGTGGTGCTTGGTCAGACCAGAGGCAGGAGTGAGGAGTTTCTTCTGGTTTCTCTTGTGGATGTCAAGGGCCCAAGGACTTTGGGCCTGTTGTTTTCTCAAGTGCTTTAGCAGGGAGATGGGTTGAAAGTGGAGCAGCAGTTGTCTCTTACTGCATTCTGAGAGGGAGCAGACTGTGGTACAAGTGCTTGAAGTTCTGGGCTCTAGCTGCTGAAACAATGGATGGAAAATCTGTCTCTTCTTTTTTCTCTCTCTTACTTAACTCTCAAACTTTAGTGGTCAGCACAGTCACTCATCCCTATGTGGCATAACTCATGGCAGGCAGGTGGGTGAAACTAGGAAGCACAGACACAATCCAGGACTGCCACATGGATGGCCAGAGCCCAATTACTGCATCCCAACTGATTTACAGGGGGTATCTTAGCAGAAAGCTGCGGTTAGAGTGAGAGCCAGCAGCAAAGCTAGGTACACTCCAATGTACCACTCTGTTGTTTTCTCTTGAAATAATTTTTTTTTCTCCCACTGGCCATTAATCAGTGATTTCTATTGTATTTGTGTTTTATGATATTTTTGAGTATATTAGAAGTTTTTTTAAAGATTTATTTATTTTTATTGGTAAGTCAGATGTACATAGAGGAGGAGAAACAAAGAGAAAGATCTTCCATCTGATGATTCACTCCCCAAGTGACTGCAATGGCCGGTGCTGCGCCGATTTGAAGCCAGGAGCCAGGAACTTACTCAGAGTCTCCCACATGGGTGCAGGGTCCCAAGGCATTGGGCCGTCCTTGACTGCTTTCCTAGACCACAAGCAGGGAGCTGGATGGGAAGTGGAGCTGCCGGGATTAGAAGCGGCACCCACATGGGATCCCGGCACGTTCAAGGCAAGGACTTTAGCCACTAGGCCATGCCGCCGGGCCCTGAGTAGTTTTAATTTAGAAGTTTTAATTTGAATTTGTCCACTGACATTCTCTTCTTCCACTAATGTTTGTTAAAGAAATATATATTCCATTGCACTTCATCTTCACTGCAGGATATTCTTGAGGCGATCTGACCTGTAGAAGGGAATTGATTTGGTTTGAAGGTGACTGCCTTCAGTGGGGTGAAGGTGTTGTGAAGGCAGGCTGCAGTAAACAGTTTCTAACCTATCCACAGGACGTCCTTATGACATCTCCCCTTTTTGTCATGGGTGTGTGACAGACGGTGGTCTTCTGTGTGTTTTATTTTGGGTGAGGGCCATACTTCTGTCTCTTTGGATTTGACCACTGAGTCCTCTTTCAGCTTTCCCACTCATTCAGTTAGGAGTTGTGTTTTAATTTTTCTTGCAATATTTTGATCTTCTTGATGAAATAAAATACATAATTCAACAAAAACGGGGGAGGGACATTGAAATTTCAAATTGTTCTAACAGTTGCTGTCTTGCGTAAAAACTATTGTAATATCCCTTTGATTTTATCGGGAGCATTGCAGTGTGCCCTAGTTTTGTCCACACAGCCAGGTATCAGGATGTAGGGCTTTCCTGTTCTTCTCCAATTGTTGAAGCCCTGAGAATATATATCTGCCTCAAACAGATATGTTGATGCCTCCTTTCTGAAACTATCGCAGTTGAGTCTCCTGCCTGAAGTTGTCCTCATTGTCTCGCAGCAGTGGTTCTCATTGTCAGGGCCGTGTGATTGCTATGTTGGGCTTTGTGCCCATGCTGCTCCTACCCTAGCTGTGGCCGTGTGTTAATGTGTGTTTTGTCACAACTAGAATAAAGCACAAAGGATCTTTGCTTTTTTTTTTTTTTTCCAGTAACAAATACATTTAAGAAAACAAATGATTCTATGACATCTAACGTATCAGCTGGGGACCTGAACCACAAATTTAGGTGCAAAGTTGTGGACTGTCTAAAATTTTTCCGCAAAGCCAAGCTATTGCACTACCACATGAAGTATTTCCATAGAATGGAGAAGTCACCCGAGCCAGAGGAGAGCCCAGGCAAGAGGCACGTCCAGACGAGAGGCTCTTCAGCTTTGGACAAGTCCAGCCAGGAGAGCCTAACGAGGAAGCGTGTTTCAGCCAGTTCCCCAAGTAAGTGACTTGTTTCTGCACGTGTCATAGAGGGTCCTGCTGCTCAAGCCTCAGTGCTTACATCTCAGAGACAAGAAGCAGATGTTGGGTTGATCTGGTCTGGTGGAATCCTACCAAGGTGAAAATGGAGCTGAATTATGGAGCTGTGGCCCTCTGGGAGGTGGCAAAATATGAGCTCTGTTACTTGTCTCTGCCTCTTGCTGCCCAAGTCTTGTGGAGAGCTCACTTGGGCTGACACTGCTGGAGTGTGTTGGCGGGGGACAGTGGAACCACGACAGCTCCCTCAGCAACCAGCATAACTCAGTTCCCTGATGTGCAGGAGTGCCATCTTCCTGCCCTTCCTGATCCATGCCCAGTCCTTGCCAGCTGGACAAGAGAACCGCAAAGTGTTGAGTTGTCAGTGGAGGAGCCAGGACAAAGCCTGTTAACCCGCTGTACCACTGTGGCAGCCCCTGAGGGTGTTCTCTAAAGTACTGTTGATTTTGTATGTAACCATGATGAGGGTAGACTGGACCACCAGAAAATCTCTTCTCATGGTTTCACAGTGTCTGTTTGGAAAATCACCCAAAGTAGAAAAATTATATTTTAAAGGAGGGGAATTACAGAAGGTTAATGCATTTCCAGGAAATTCTGCAATTATCTCAGCCTGTTTTTACAAATGATTATATTATTACATATTTTTTGGCTTCCTGGCCATCTATGTTGGGAATCTGGGTTGAATTTGTGGCTCCTTACTTGAGCTTGGCCTTGCCTTGAGTGAGCTGTTGTAGGTGGGAACGAAATCAGTGAGTGGGCAGTCTTTCTGTCTGTTTCTGCCTTTCAAATCAAGTGAAATGAAGGCTAAGTGGTGGAGAAGTGGTTCTGCTTCAGGCCATCCTCTCAGAAGCTGGCAAGGACAGGAAGGCAAACTGTCAGGCCGCGAACTGGCGGCACTGCCTGTCCATTTCTTCTCAGTGGACATGTTTCATTACTTAAGAACCTTCTGGGGCCCAGCATGATAGCTTGGTGGCTAAAGTCCTCGCCTTACATCTGCTGGAATCCCATATGTGTACCAGTTTGTGTCCTGTCTTTTTCCATTTTACATCCAGCTCCCTACTTGTGGCCTGGGAAAGCATTCAAGGATGGCCCAAAGCCTAGGTCCGAGCACTTGTGTGGGAAACTTGAAATAAGCTCCTGGCTTTGGATTAGCTCAACTACAGCTATTGTGGCTACTTGTGGGGTAAACCAGCGGCCGGACGATCTTTCTCTCCTTCTCTCTCTAAATCTGCCATTCCAATAAAAATAAATAAATCTTCATTTAAAACATTAAAATCTCAACTCATGTTCATTCCTAGCTGCAAAAGACAAGGAAAAGAGTAAAGAGAAGAAATTTAAAGAGTTTGTGAGAGTGAAGCCAAAGAAGAAAAAGAAAAAGAAAAAGAAAGTCAAACCTGGTAAGTGCTGCTTGGGGGTTTCACCTGTTCTTCCTCACCATGGCTTGGGAGGGGTGACTGTCTCCCGTGATGGCCCCAGCAGGCCTTTCCCAGGGTGCGTGGGCTCTGCGCGGAGGTGCTGTTTGGCGTTTGTGAAGGCCTGCCTACCTTCTGTATCTGCCAGCACACCCTGGCCTGGTGCTGCCTGCACGAGGACATCAAAGCACTAGAGGATGTGTGGAAGAGTGACTGAATTTGTTTATAATTGTAACTTAAATACCCATCTACGCACTCTTTCTAGAAAGGATTTGCTTCCTGAAAAATGTTTATCTGTTCACAAGAAAGATGTATAAGAAAACACCTTCTGTCCTTGAGAGTTACAGGGATGCTTTGTTGTATCCTCGGTGTGTTTTCTGGCTTAGACAAAGAGGGTGTGGGGTGGTGTGAACAGGTAGTGCTTGGAGTGAATGCTTAGAGGCAAGTGCAAGTGTGAATCCCTGGAGCAGAGGCCTTGTTGGTTAGATGAGATTGATTCTGCATTGTCCTGGTGATGTCTGGCTTGCTCACGCCTTCTTTACCCTATTCTTCCAGAATGTCCCTGTAGTGAGGAGGTCAGTGACACCTCCCGGGATCCTTCTCCACCCAAGGCATTCGCTGTCACCAGGTGTGGGTCTTCACATAAGCCTGGCGTCCATATGAGCCCTCAACTTCATGGCTCAGAGTCTGGAAACCACAAAGGGAAAGTGAAAGCACCTGGTAAGGAGGCACCACTAGTTTGGTGATCCTTTGATAGTGGCTGTTGCGTTCCTCACTTAGCAGCAAGTTCTGGTTCTGACTCTTCCCCACGTTGTGCAGAACTTTAGTAGTGCAGGCTTTCTGTAAGCCAGAGCCTGACCTGGTGGGGTAAGGCTCAGGAACTAGCCTGTGGTTCATGAAGAGTTACGTTTCCTCTGACAAAGAACAGGCTGCTAACTTGGGCTTCATTCTTTCAATGAAATGAGGTTGCAGAGCCCAGGGCAGTGCCAGCAGCATCCTTGTTTTGGTTTTGCGGTAGAGGATAGGTCCTAGGAACATACATCCCCATTTCCCAGCTTTTGAAAGCTCGTGGAATGGTGGGTTCATAAGGTTATTTTCCATTGCTGGATTTAAGTGTTGTCACTGTAACATATGATCGTACTGTTTGCCTTTTGCTCCCAGAAGAGGATAATGTCAGTGAGTCTTCTTCTGAGAGTTTTCTTTGGAGTGATGAGGAGTACAGCCAGGATGTTGATGGGACCCCCAACCCGGATGAAGAACTTGATGGAGATGACCACTATGATTTTGAAGTGGTCCGCTGCATCTGTGAAGTCCAGGAAGAAAATGACTTCATGATTCAGGTAGGTAGAGCTCCCAGACGGGGCCATAAGAGGCACACAGCAGTCCCTAGTGGGAGTCTTGAACCCAGCACCCGGGCAGGTCGTCTGGGCAACCCCAAGTAGTGAGCATGAAGAGCAGCGGACTGAGCTTCGTTTGCCATTCAGTTTCCTCAGAATCCTGGGCAGCCCTTGAATGTCCCCTTAATGAAGTGGGAGGGACTTGGGGAATTACTGAGTCTCAGCCCCTGATGCTGGCCAGGGAGAAGCCTTGCTTGAGGTCACACAGTGAGGGGACAAGCCGCAGGCACTGAGGTCCTCCACTGGGAGTCCGCAGCTCTCCCTGGTAGCCTGTGGATTGGAGGCTGGTTCTGTAATGTTTCTGCAGCTACTGCTGCTGGGTTTTTGTTTATGTGCTTATTTGTTTGTTTGTTTTAAAAAATATTCTGACGTTTTTGTCTGTCTTCTCCATCTCTGGGATGTGCCTTTGGTTTGGGGGGCCTTCCTAACTGGCAAGACCTTGCCTCACCTGCTTGCCCTTGTCTTGCTGTTAATTGCAGCTCCTCTGGTGAGAAGGTGGCTGCTGTCTGCTGCCTCTAAGTGCTGCCATAAATACTCCAAGCGTTTTTGGGAGTTCCCTGGCTGGCCAGGGAATGTGAGGTGTTTTTGTTTCTTTGTTTGTTTTTAAAATTTATTTTTTTTAATTGGAAAGTCAGACATACAGAGAGGAGAGACAGAGGAAGATCTTCCGTCCAATGGTTCACTCCTCAAGAAGCCACAATGGCTGATGCTGAGCAGATCTAAAGCCAGGAGCCTCCTCTGGGTCTCCTAAAGGGTGCAGGGTCCCAAGGCATTGGTGTCCTCAACTGCTTTCCCAGGGCACATTCAGGGAGATGGATGGAAAATGGGGTCACTGGGATTAGAACTGGTGCCCATTTGGGAACCTGGCATGTGCAAGGTGAGAATTTTAGCTGCTAGGCCATCGCTCCATGCCCGAATGTGAGTTGTTTTTTTTGTTTGTTTTTTGGTTTTTTTCAATTTATTTTTTCTTAAAGTAAGCTATGGTTCAACAGTTACGATTATTTTAGGGTGAATACAAATATTTTTGGGAAAATGGACTGGCACTTGGAACCCAGACACAAAATACAGCCAGGCTCAGGGACCTGGCCTTCCATTGTGAGTTTGGACCATTTTGTTTCCTCTCCTTACAAAGTCCATCTGATTCTTTCTCTTTTTTGTTGTCTTTTTCTTGTAAAGTGATCATTCATGATGCTCCTTCCACCCCCAATTTTACATTTTTGTGTTAATGAGACTACTTGGGCTAATGAGGTTGTAGGCAGAGAATTCCAGTCAGGTTTAAGTTGGATAAAAGTTTTTGATTGGAGGCATAAGAGATTTGCCTTGGGCCAAATGTTCATCCTAGGTTTGGTCTTTCGCTGGATGGGAGAGTTTGGAAGTCTGTGCCTGGGGCCTACCTCTATGTCCATGTGTGCGGGAGTGGGAGATGGAATGGCTGCTCCATCTCCTGTCATTTTCTTGCCCTTACAGTGCTGTGGGCATGGATTTTTGAGGTCCTCTTATGGGTCTTGACTTAGAATGCTCTTGGATTTATGCCACTTTATCTTTGCATCTGTCTCTTGTGTTCAGCAGTCCCCTTTTTGGGGGGGCCTTTACCAGTGTTCCTCGAATTTTTGGAAAGGTTGAAGAGTGAGTTGGCTCACTTGCCTTTTCACTTTTTATTTTCTCAGTGCTTTTAACAATTTTGTTTTGAATACATCATTTCATAAGAGGTTTGGGAAAAGCACACAGGGGAACCCCCTGCACTCCTTTGTTGAGATTCATCCATGCTGTTGTGTCTGTGATTAGCTCCTTTTGATTGTGCAGTGTGTTCCATGACACACATGTAGCATAGAAGTGTTATTTTTATTCATTGTAGCAATACCACATCATGCTTCAAAGATTTTCAAAAGTGTCATTTCACCTGTAGCCAGGCTATCACAAATCTCTAGGGAAGAGTTAAGATTAAAATTATGAAGATATTTTTTGCTCCTGGTGTAGAACCATAAAATGGGTAAACAGGATATTTGAACTCAAGATACCCAGGCAAGTGTTCTTTCCTTAGGTATGAGGACTCACATTTATAATTGAGAAGTGAAATAAAATAAATGGGTTTTTGAAATCTAACAGTATTGGGCGTGGCACAATGGCTCAGTTGGGTACATCTTTACCTTGAACATGCTGGGATCACGTATGGGTGCCAATTCATGTCCCTGCTGTTCCATTTCGCATTCAGTTCCTTGCTTGTGACCTGGGAAAGCAGTAGAGAATAATCCAGAGTCTTGGGACCCTGCACTTGTGTGGCACACCTGGAAGAAGCTTCTGGCTCTTGGCTTTGGATTGGCTCAGCTCCAGCTATTGTAGCCATTTGGGGTTTGAACCAGTGGGTGGAAGATCTTTGTATCTGTCTTATTTTCTCTGTAACTCTAATCTGTGTTTCCAGTAAAAGTAAATAAATCTTAAAAAAAAATTTTTTTATTTAATAAGTTTATTTATTCTTTTTTATCTTGATAATCTTTACATAGTTGATTAGGGCACAAAGGGTCAAGGGTTACAAGAAAATGGGTAAGACCACTGTTTCCAGACATTTTTTCTGTGTGTATCTGGGGTAAGGAAAGAGACAAAGTAGGAAGCCCCACCGGATCTCACACCCCATCCCAGGGTCAGGGCCCAGCATGATGGCTTAGTGGTTGGGGTCCTTGCCTTACATGAACCAGGATCCTATGTAGATGATGGTTCTAATCCAGGTGGCCCTGCTTCCCATCCAGCTCCCTGCTTGTGGCCTGGGAAAGCAGTTGAGGAGGACCCAAAGACTTGGGATCCTGCACCCATGTGAGATACCTGCAAGAAGCTCTTGGTTCTTGGCTTTGGATTGGCTCAGCTCCAGCCATTGCACCCATTTGGGGAGTGAGTCGGTGAATGGAAGTTGTTTCTTTCTGTCTTTCCTCCTCTCTGTATATCTGATTTTCCAATAAAAATAAATAAATCTTAAAAACAAAACAAAACAAAAACAAAAACAGGGCCCAGTGGCATGGCCTAGCAACTAAAGTCCTCGCCTTGAAAGCGCCGGGATCCCATATGGGCGCTGGTTCTAATCCTGGCAGCTCCACTTCCCATCCAGCTCCCTGCTTGTGACCTGGGAAAGCAGCGGAAGACAGCCCAAAGCTTTGGGACACTGCACCCGTGTGGGATACCCGGAAGAAGTTCCTGGATCCTAGCTTTGGATCTGCATAGCATTGGCTGTTGCACTCACTTGGGAAGTGAATCATCAGACGGAAGATCTTCTTCTCTGTCTCTCCTCCTCTCTGTATATCTGACTTACCAATAAATAAATAAGTCTTAAAAAAAAAAAACAAAAGAAATATAACAGTACTATCTAAGCCAGCCAACCCACCCTTCCTACCAGTGTCCAAACATAGGAGCCCACATGCTGACCATCTCTGTCTCTCTCTCTCTTTCTTTTTCAGTTTAGGCAGTGTCTTTTTTTTTTTTTTTAATTTTTTCCCAGTAGCCTTTATGATAACCTCTCTGGGATCTCCAGGGAACATGGATCTTTAGCAGCCCTGATGATCTTGGTGGCTTTTGGAATCCCTTAGTTTAGTGGTTTTCAATCCTTTTTCAGAATCAGTTAACTTTCCCATTGGAATTCTTTATAGAAGCACAAAATCTGTAGCAAGTAAAAACAGGCTTTGAAAATTCAGTATGGATAATATTCATGTTTCAGGTGGGACATGTGGATGAGTTCTGAGAGGCAGAATGGTGATATTTGTTGACCTGGAATTCTTTGGGGACTCATTTCTTTTTCTTAAACAACAATGAGACAAATGCGAAACCCATGACTATTACCAAGGTGATTGCTCCTGAAGACCAAGCAGCTTAGTCCTGCTGATTCCTCAGAGATGGGAGGAAAGGCTTTTGCTTTAAGACACCAGCCTCGCAGGGCACAGTTGTGTGTAGGTGGGCTCTTCTGCCTTAATAGATGTGTTGACATGTGTATGGGTGTGCTTTTTCTTTTTTTCTTTTAAGATTTATTCATTTTATGGGGGGAGGGCACGGGAAGGGGTTGGGGGAATCCCAGAGCCTATGAAACTGTGTCACAAAATGAAATAAAAAATCATTTGTGTATGGAAAAAAAAAGATTTATTCATTTTAATTAGAAAGGCAGATTTAGAGAGAGGGAAGCAGAGCTTCCATCTGCTGTTTCTCTCACCAAATGACCACAATGGCCAGAGCTGTCCTGAAGCCAGGAACCAGGAGTTTGTTTCAGGTTTCCCACACGGGTGCAGTGTCCTAAGGACTTGAGACACTTTCCGCTGCTTTCCCAGGCCACAGTCACTGAGCTGGGTGGGAAGTGGAGCCACCAGCGTACAAACTGGTACTCATAGGAGATGATGGTGCTTGTTAGGTGGATGGTTAGCCTATTGAGTCATTGTACACTGAATCATTTTTTAGGTCCCATTTAAACACATGCACTTTTTTTTTTACAACCTTTCAAGTTTTGAGGAAAAACAATTAGCAAATTGTTACATAAAGTTGGTTTTCTTTTTTTTTAAGATTTATTTTTATTGCAAAATCAGATATATAGGTATATATAGAGAGGAGGAGAGACAGAGAGAAATATCTTCTGTCCAATGATTCACTCTTAAGTGACCACAACGGCTGGAGCTAGGAGCTACTCCAGGTCTTCCACGCGAGTGCAGGGTCCCAAGGCTTTGGTCCGTCCTCGACTACTTTCCCAGGCCACCAGCAGGGAGCTAGATGGAAAGTGGAGCTGCCAGGATTGGAGCCGGTGCCCATATGGGATCCCAGTGTGTTCAAGGCTAGGACTTTAGCCACTAGGCCATGGTGCTGGGCCCTAAAGTTGGTTTTCTAAAGGATATTGACAATCTTCATAAACACTACAATGGTTTTCTGGATGCATGCTGAATTCAGGGTCCTGATAGCCTGATTAGATTTGGCCGTCAGCTTTCCCTAGTAATTCTCAGTTGTGTATAATAAAGGCCCCTTTTAATAAGACTGTTCCATGTTAACAGTGCATGACCCAATTCTGCTTCATGGTATTTTGTCTATTGACTGCTTTATTAAGTGTTAAGAATAGTGGTCAGTGCTGCTGTGGCATATCAAGCTAAGCCTCTGCCTACAGTGCTAGCATCCCACAAGTGCACTGGTTTCAGTCCCAACTCCTTCACTTCCCATCCAGCTCCCTGCTAATGTGTCTGGGAAAGTAGCTTAAGTTAGGCCAAATATTTGGGCTCTTTTCACCCATGTGGGAGACCTGGGTAGAGTTCTGTGGTCTTAGTTATCCTTCTAGTCACATTAGCAGGTAGTTGAGTCAGAACAGATATCAATATGGAATGCCAACATCACAAGCTTCACTATGCCACAATAATAGACCCTGTAGAATTTTTCCCTTTTTTGGAGGAGGGGAAGATTTTAAAATTTTATTTGAAATATAGAATTAGAGCAAAAGTTAGGGAGAGATAGATCTTCCAACTGCTATTTCATTCCCCAAATGGATACATTGTCCAGGCTGGGACTTGATACTGGTTTCACAGGCAGCAGATTATCATGCTGTGTCATAACACTAGCCCCTCAACTGTTTATAAAGGATTTATTTGTTTGTTTGAAAGGCAGAATCGTGTGTTCCTTAATTCACAGAGTTACTCCCCAAAGGGCCATGACAGCTGGAGCAGGGTCAGGGGTCAGACAGAAGGCGGGTGCCTAGAATTCCATCCGGATCTCCTGTATGGGTGGCAGGGTCCCCATTTTCTACTGCTATCCCCAGTACATTAATGAGGAATTGGACTGGAAGGAGACAGCTGGGAATCCAACTAGTGCTAATAAGGCACATCAGCTTAACTTGATATGCTGCCATGGCACTGATCTCTGCTATTAAAAATTTTTTTTAAAAAATTATTTATTTTTGTTTAAAAGGCAGATTTACAGAGAGAGAGAGAGACAGAAAAATCTTCCATCTAGTAGGTCACTCTTCAAATGGCTCCAATGGCTAGAGCTGAGCCAATCTAAAGCCAAGAGCCAGGAGGTTATTCCCTGTCCCCATGTGGGTATGGGGTCTCAACACCTTGGGCAGTCCCCTGCTGCTTTCCCAGGCCACAGGCAGGAAGCTGGGTGGGAATTAGAGAAGCCAGTACATGAACTGGACCCATATGGAAGGCCAGCATGTGGAGGTGGATGATTAACCAGTTGAAATACCACTCTGGCCTCTGCAGTTAAATTTTTAAAGAATGAATAGAATAGACCCACCTTAAAAATTCTGTCATTTTGATTTCTGACACTTCACTGTGTTTTAATTTGCTTTTGGTGAATTCTAATCCTCATGACAGTCAGACAAGTCATTAATGATACAGTTTTTTCCTATTTGTCTGTTTCCTGTTTCTAACTGCTTTTGTTGTCTTGCAAATTCTATTTTTCATCTTTGATTGGAGGAATCCATAACAAGTCCTAGCCGAAGCTGGCTTCCTAGCTCTGCTCCTGTTGGTTCTGCTGGAGTCAGCGTCTCCAGGACCTTCGGTCTACCAAGGGATGCACTGTGGATGCTGGGGCCATCTGGTTCCACGTGCTTGATAACTGTCTCATGTTAGAATTTGTACCCCCTTATAAAATTCCCTGTTCCTTTCCAGGCTAACCTGTGTTTGGGGAGTTTAAGTTTAGAGCCTTGGCTCAGAACTCCTTTTAAAGTATCCTGTTGTATGATTGGGAAGCTGCCTTCTCTCTCCACTCTGTTCTCTTCCCTCCTGGTGTCTGTCTGCAGCTGTAGTCTCCTGGTGCTGCCCTTGTTGTCTGCCTCCTCTTTTCCCCTCTTCCTCCTGTCCATGCCCGTTCATCTTCGCAGTATTCCAGAAAGGTGGGGAGGGATGCCCGTGGGCGCAGTCAGAGTTGTGGAGCTGTGAGGTAGGGGTCTGCAATTGTGGTTTGTTTTTTTTTTTAATCTGACCCACCAGATCCTCACTGACAGCCCCTGTGGCAAGTAGGAATGCTGTTCCGTGCTGTCTATGGGGAAACTGAAGGCCAGTGAAGAGAAGCAAGTTGAGCAGACACCCCAGTGATGTAGCTTCATGTCAGCTTTGTGTTGTTTCAAGTTAGCTTTTCTCCAAGCATCAGAGAATTTTAGCTCTGTTCCCAAAAAGGGGTCAGCAAAGTGAACGCCTGTGGAAGTGAGAATGAAACAGTTGTTCTTGTGAGATCAGCACTGTTGAATAGATCTAAATCTTGTAGTATAATAGCCCCTGGCCACATGTGGCTTCTGAGTATTTAACAATATTGCTAATACGACTGAGGAAATGAATATTAATGTGTTTAAGTGTCCAAACCCACATGGGGCCAGCGTGCTACCATAATGGACAGTGCCCGTGCACATGTGTGGCTCCAGCCCAGATGTGCAAATGTGAAGCGTGATCCTCCCTCCCCTCTCCTGCCTTCCTCTTCCCTGCAGGTGGGTCTTAGGCTTGGAGGAGGGATACCTTCTGAGTTTAACTTTTGTTGCTTCTTTAATTCTAACAGTGTGAAGAGTGCCAGTGCTGGCAGCATGGGGTCTGCATGGGATTACTGGAAGAAAATGTGCCTGAGAAATACACCTGTTATGTTTGCCAAGACCCTCCAGGTAGAGATTTCTGGAGTCAGGGATTTTCACAGTATGTAGCCTTTTTCACAGCACAGCTGGCTGTGATGCACCCCTAAGTGTCTGTGGTCCTGATTCTCACTTCTTTGTCCTCAGCCCTGCTGGTAGCTGCTGTCTTGTCTAAACAGCAGGAGAGTATGGGTGAAGAGGGCTTGTCTGGTGCAATGCTTGGCCTTGAGCCAGGACTTTTTCTTAATTGTGATAAAAAGCAAAGATGTATGAGATCCTTTTTTCTAAACAAAATTTAAAAAAAGGTTTATTTATTTGAATGAGTTAAAAGAAAGAGAGAAACCATCTGTTGGTTGCTTCATTCCTTCCAAAAGCCACAATGAATGAAGCTGCACGAGGCCAAAGCCAAGATCCAGTGGCTTCATGCTTATCTTCCATGTGAGTGCTAGGGACTGAAGCACTTGGGCCGTCTTTCCCTGCTCTCCCAGGTGCATTAGCAGGGAGCTGAATTGGAAGTGGAGCATCTGGGACTCAACTGGAACTCATGTGGATCCTATAGTTGCAGACAGGAGCTTAAGCTGCTACACCACAATCCTGACCCCTCTTTTAATAAAATTTTCAGTGTACATACAGTTTTTTTCATAAAAACCTCAAAGAAAAAGTTAAAAATATGGAACATTTAGAGACTTTGTACCTCATCCTTGTGCAGAGGCCGTGCCAGTCTTCTGTGCTGCTACTTTCTCATTTTCATGCACCTGCTGCTAGAGCAAGTTTTTTTCTTTTTCTTAAATCACAGAGATGACTGTGAATTCTGTCCTTCTCCTTTTGGGGCTGCAGGAGGGTTGGAAACTCCCTCCGTGTCTGTGTTGCCTGGCAGGGACCTGTGCCCTTGGAGAATGTCAGAGGCATGGTAGCCCAGAGTTGTCACCCTGTAGAGCAGGATTTAATTTCATAGCAGGAGGATCGATTAGTTTCATGGCTCCAGGGGCTGCCTTGCACGCTCCTTTCTAGAAGTGGTGGATAGATTGATGATTCCTGTCTTAGCTGTCAGTGGTATGGCAGCTGCTGCCTTACAGCTGGGTTACTTCTGAGAGCCTGTGCTTTTCCTCCTGTGGTCCTCTGAGGCAAACCTGGTTGGAACGCCTACTCCAATTTTTGGTTGTAAGGAAGGAATTAGTGGACAGAGGATGCAAATGACTTCTAACTCCCTAGACCATACTGGAATTAGAATGTGCTTGGAAGGTCACTTCATTGGAAAGTCAAATATACAGAGAGGAGGAGAGACAGAGAGGAAGATCTTCCATCTGATGATTTACTTCCCAACGGCTGCAATGGCTGGAGCTGAGCTGATCTGAAGCCAGGAGCTCAGAACTTCTTCCGGGTCTCTCATGTGGGTGCAGGGTCCAAGGCTTTGGCCCTTCCTCGACTCCTTTCCCAGGCCACAGGCAGGGAGCTAGATGGGAAGTGGGGCTGCTTTGATTAAAAACTGTGCCCATATGGGATCCCAGAACATGCAAGGTGAGGACTTTACCCATTGGGCTACTGCACTGGGCCCGGAAGGTCACCTCATAATGTTGCTGTTTATGTAGGGGAGGATCAGCCAGCATAGTTGATTTGGCCCTGATAACTTCTGTGGTGACATTATGTCTCCTCATACTATATTAATGCATGGACAGAGAAGAAGAATCTGCCTCTGTTAGTCTTTGAATAAGAACATAATCAGACCAGTAGAGAGGCAAATACACACAGACCCGGAATGGCTCAATCACTTCACCTGTTAACGGCAGATAAGCAACGAGAATCTGTCCTCTCCCCAACTTTGTCCTTTGAAAAGGTAGTGCTGCACCAGTGCTTGCAGCAGCTCTCTCTGAGGCTTCCCCAAGGGCCCTAGTGGCACCTTTTAGAAATCTTGTTGACCTTTTCATAGTATCCACTCTTTATTCTTGGGAAGTCAGACACACTGTCTTTGTGTAGTCCTGTGCAGTCTCTGAATGTTTTCTGTAGCTATAATCATAGACTTCTCTTGATCTCAGCACTTTATATCTGTCACAGGATTTGTGCTTACAGATCATTGAATTCTGCAGGTAGCTAGGCTCAAAACTCCATCTTATGAATTGGTGTAAAAAGTTGCTTAAGAATTGTTAGAATAAAGGTGTATCCCCATGATGTGCATTAGCAAAGCCTGAATGAGCCTGGTGACCTTGGTGGAGATCAGCTTGATTATGTTGGTTTTTTTATAGATACTGTGAGCCACAGTCTGGTTTAAAGCTATTCTCTGGGCTCTTGGAGCAGGAGGTGGTGACAAGTCACCTGTGCTATGTTTCTGGTCCTTCTTAAGAAGCCCTATAACCAGCAAGACCTCTGTCACCAACCAACCAGCCTGTCTGATGATAGGTGGGAGCAGGAGGTCCGGAGAAGGGAGGGGCTGGTAGCTGCTGCATCTGGAGCTTCTTTTCATTCAGTTGATAAATTAATTCAAGATGCATTTTGCCAACCCTGTGGATATGATGATGAACAAGTTGGTTCTGACTCTTCTGGCTCTTAGTGGGAAACAGGGGTCCAGAAATGAGCTCATTTATGTAAACAACTAGACTGTTAGCTGCAGAGGGGGAAGCCATCATGGCTGGAAGGCACTGTTGAGGTGCCCCTTACTTTGGGAGATAGCCAAGGGCTCTGGAGCTCAGGAGGGTATGGGGTGAGGAGCCAGTCCTGCAGAGGCCTTGCGGAATAGTGCTCCAGATAGGAGGGTGCTGCTAGAGAGAAGATGCCAAGCCTGCAAGAGCTCATGTGTTCTGCAAACTGAAAGAAAACCACTCTGGGTGGTGGACAAGGTCAGGAAGGAGCTGAGTTTTCTGGACTCCTTTAAGCCAGGCTAGGACTTGGTGTTTCCTTCTGAGAGCAGTAGCAAGTTGTGGAAGCATTTAAAGAGAGAATTCAGGTTTCCACTGCACCTCTGGCCAGTCCCAGGAGATCAGAACTCCAACACCTAGCCTAGAGCCGAGCATATGATTGGTGTTGGGTGAATGTACAGTGAATGGCTGAAATAGCAAAATGAGCTCGCTGGTCTGTCCTAGGGTTCGTGTGACAGTTGTGCAATGACATGAAATGGCCTGGGTTTCCTTCACATTTAACCCTCTTGTTGTTGCTCCTTTAGGTCAGAGGCCTGGCTTCAAGTACTGGTATGACAAGGAGTGGCTGAGCAGGGGACACATGCATGGCCTGGCATTTCTAGAAGAAAACTACTCCCATCAGAATGCTAAGAAAATTGTGGCCACACACCAGCTTCTTGGCGATGTGCAGAGAGTGATTGAGGTTCTGCATGGCCTGCAGCTTAAGATGAGCATCTTACAGTAAGTGTGGTGTCTGTGGTTTGGGGAACTACCTATAGATGGAATAAATTTAAGAAATTATAAAACCACAAAATCCATCATAAGTCTGATGAGGGGAATGATGCTATGACATGGAAGGTTAGGTTGGTTGCATAGTTTTAAGAGCTTGTTGAACTTTTAACTTTTAAAAAAATTTTGTTTACTTGAGAGACAGATAGATGGGGCTCCCACTCCCATGTGCTGATTCACTTCCCAGATGCCTGCAATCCCAGGCTGAATTGAAGCCTGTTTTAGTCCCAGCCTCTCTACTTCCAATTCTGCTCCCTGCTAATGTTCCTGGGAAAGCAGCAAAAGTAAGTCCAGTTGTTTCTGTCTCTGCTCCAACCAGGAGATCCAAAAGAAGCTCCTGGCTTAGGTCTGGGCCAGCCTAGGCCATTGTAGCCATTTGGGGAGTAAACCAGCAGATGGAAGGTTCCCCTCCCCCCTTTGTCTTTCATATATTCTAATATTAAGAAATACATAAAAGCTAAGTACTAAAGCTAAAATTTCACAAAACCACCTACCTTTACTTAAAGTAGTACCCTCTGATGTTTTCTATTCTTTTCTTTCTTTTCAAACAATTGATTATGATCCAGTGATTTAATTTAATGGTCTACTGTTGGATTGGAACTCAAGCAGTGAATAAGGTGGGAGACTGAAGCCTCACGCACAGTGTATATGCACACATGTGGGCAGATGCAGCAGATTCCCAGTGGAGGCCGAGGCCCCAGAAAGGATTAAGAATCCCTGCCTGACACATGTTTCTGTTAGGGAGAATGAAACTAGTAGAGCTTACAAGGGTTCTGGAAACTGCCCTATATAGATGACAGTTGATCCTACCCCACCCCATCACTGCTGCATGGCTGTCATGGGTGCCACTGCATGCCAGGATAACTGTGACTGTTAGTAAGTTAAAGCTCATTTTAGCACACCACACTTGAAGAGCACTTTACCACCAGTGGAATCCTTCCATTCACGTGAATTCATGTGCCCTTTGTGACGCTCAGCAGTTGGTAACCTGGTGAGTGATGGGCCCAGTTCTAAGAGGAAGAAGGGACCGCTTGTCAGCAGCAAGCCTGGTCCTGGCTGCTGTGTTTGTGCCAGTGGGAGTTTGTCAAGAAGGTCTCACTGGAGCCTGAAGACTGGCCTTTTCTTTTGCTTAGCACATGGTGGTGTGTGGCTGAATGACCCAGATGAGAGCTGTTCTCCCTGTTGGAAGAATGTGTGGGGGCTGAGAAGCCCTGTCATGACATGGATTAGTGTAAAGCTTTTCCTGTCTGCCCTCTCAACAGGAGCAGGGAGCACCCCGATCTGCAGCTGTGGTGCCAGCCCTGGAAGCAGCACTCAGGGGAGGGTCGAGTTCCCTCCACGCACATCCACATCATGGACCCCAGGAGCAAGGAGGAGGACCCCATCTACAGAACTTTGAATGGGGCAGTGGAGAAGCCCCCGCCCCGGTCTGTTGAGGAGTCCTATATCACCAGCGAGCATTGCTATCAGAAGCCCCGTGCCTACTACCCTGCCGTGGAGCAGAGGCTGGTGGTGGAGACACGGGGCTCTGCCCTGGACCATGCAGTCAACCCCCTCCATGAGAACGGCGACGACTCCCTCTCCCCACGTCTGGGCTGGCCTCTAGACCAAGACAGGAGCAGGGGTGACGGTGACCCCAAACCCAGCTCCCCAAAGGTATGTGGTTCACTGTACTTGTCCTCCTCCGTGTTAGAGTGCTTGTCCCGGTAGGCTAAAAGTTCTGTGGAAAATGCTTAGTCATGAGCCTGTGTATTGTGCATGCTTTTCCCATTAAATGAATTCAAAGTCAAGAAAGCTTACTTAACCTGATGATGATTGGTTCCAGAAATTACCCATGGAAACATGACTGGTGGTATGGGAACAGAAAGATGAGAAACAGCAAGAACAGTGCTGCCAGAAATTTTAGAAATGGAACCAGGGCATGGACACTCTGTTTTTCTTTGTGTGGTTTCCATCATGCAAATTCTTAGTATAGCTGTGATGTCACTTGCATTAAGGGCAAGGCCCACCTCACATTGCCAAGAGGAAGCATCCTGGGCTGAAAGCTCCTCAGGGGTGGTGATGGTCCCAGATCCATATGTGCCCTTCCAGTGGTGAAGCATGGCTGAGCAAGGTGATAAGGATTCTTTTCAAACAGACCCAGCTGAATCTGGGCCCAAGCCACTTGGTGATTCTGAGCAAGTTACTTCACCTCCCCAATGAGACCTGTTTGCACGCCTGCAGAATGGGGCCAGTGACGCTGCCCCTCAGTTTCTGGGGGCGTGTTTGAGGAAAGCTCTTTAGCTCATGGCTTTGCACATAAGCATTAAGTCAATATGACTTAATCATGGCTATGACCTGGTTTGATTCAAGATAAATGAATGAAGTGTTGAATTTCCAAATCCTAGAAGGGCTCATGGCCTGCGAATGAGGAGTGTTTCCAGACATCTGGTCTGTTGGTTCAGTGTTAGGAGATGGTGAGCCTAAGCAGGTCAGTGAGCTTCTGCCATTGCTGGTGGAGTGTCTGTGACCCATGCTGTTTGTATTCATCTGATCACGTTCCAATATCCTAAACCTTCAAAGTAGGATTTACTACATATTATTTTTCCTTTGAAGAACAGAGGCTTAGAGAAAGGAACTGGGCCAGGATCACGTGCCTCACTAGCCTTTCTCTGGTTACATCCCAGGGCTCTGGAAACCGCTCTGTGAGGCCTGCTTCAAGCTGGGGGCAGGAGGCCTCCCAAGCCTGAGGTCTGGGCTGCCCTGAAGGGTGAGATTGTTCCATCAGGCAAACTTCTGCCCAGTACCTATAGGAGACAGAGTAATCAGAGTGTGAGGGGTTTGGAGTGAGGGGCTGGAGGCCTCCTGCACTCAGTCACCCAATTCCTTTGCTTCCCTAGGTGAGGGACTGTATCCTCCCAGAAGAAACCCCTGCGCGGAAGCTGCTGGACAGAGGTGGAGAGGGGCTGCTGAGCTCGCAGCACCAGTGGCAGTTTAACCTGCTGACCCACGTGGAATCTCTGCAGGATGAAGTCACACACAGGATGGACTCCATTGAGAAGGAGCTGGATGGTAGGCCCTTCCCTGGACCCCTAGCCACTGGCCTGTACTGAGTACCCCTCCCCTTAGTTGGGTTTTCTGAAACCCAATTTTTAAAAAATGTTTCCACATTATTATTATTTTTTTCTTTCTGTATCTTGGGTAAGAGGGGAGATAAAGGGAGAATCCCCACCCTGCTTCCCACCCATCCCAGGTCCCTGATGTGGGGCATGCTCCTAGGGCACTGCTCAAGTGGTTTTGATAGTTCAGTAGTTCTGAATTGCTGCCAGTCTCTCCATTCTAAGCATGATGAAATCTCTCCAGAATCCACTAGCTGACATAGTTCACCTTAGAGTCTCCAAGGAATGAACTCTTGAGTTCATTTAAACACCATCAAGATTAACTGAGCATTTGTAGGTATTTAGATGTGGTATTCTTTAAAAAAAATAAATAAATAAATAAAGCCCTGTGCAGCAGTCACTTATCTTGGTGGTTTCAACATCTGTGTCACTCCTGGCTCTACTCTCAGCTTTCTTCTAACATATACCCATGAAGCAGTAGTTCAATTAGTTAGATCCCTGCCATCCACGTGGGAGACCTGGATGGAGTTCCTCGTTCCTGGCTTTGACCTGGTCCAGCTTTGTCATGACAAGTATTTGGTAACTAACCCAGCAGATTGGAGCGGTCTGTCTCCTTAGCTCTCAAATAAATGAACAATAAATTTAGAAAACATAGAAAAGCTACCATGTTGACTGAGACATGTAAATAAAGGTAAATAAAAGTCATTGTTCTAATATTAATGATTATTTAATAATTTATAAAGCTGTGTGAATAGTGCTTTAAAAGGCAAAAGAGGGCAGATGCTGCAAAGTAGCTGCTTAGAACCCCTACAACCTACACACGAGTGCAGCTTCCAGTTCTGGGTCCCCTGCTTCCAATCCAGCTTCCTACTGTTGTGCCTGGGAAGGCAGCATGTGATGGCCCCGGGCTCAGATGAAATGCCATCGTCCTGGCTTCAGCCTGGCTCATCAGTGGCTATTGTGAGCATCTGGAGAGTGAGCCAGTAGATGGAACTGTATTTGTTCTCTCTCTGTTTCTGTCACTCTGCCTTGCAAATAAATAATAAAACTAAAATAAAAGACAAAGGAAAGCAGTGACCAAAAAAAAAATGAAATATTAAATCTTTAAGTATTTGGAAATATTTTAAAGGAAAAAAATGACAACTTAGTAAACAAATGAGCTTATGGAATGTATTTGGAATGAAAATTGCCCTCGTGATCTTCTTTTTTTAAGATACAGTTCCGTAGGCTCTGAGATTTTCCCTTTTTTTTTAATTTTTATTTTGGATTTTATGGTACAATTCCGTAGTCTGGGATTTCCTCCCCCTCCAATTCCTACCCCCTTTTTTTTCTTTTTCTTTTTTTAAGATTTATTTATTTTCATTGGAAAGGCAAATTTACAGAGAGGAGAAACAGAAAGATCTTCCATCCGCTGGTTTATTCCCCAGATGGCCAGAACGGTCAGAATTGAACTGCTGTAAAGCCAGGAGCTTCTGCCCAGTCTCCCACACAGGTACAAGATCCCAAGACTTTAGGCCATCCTTTGCTGCTTTCCCAGGCCATAAGAATGAGCTGAATGGAAGTGGAGCACCCAGGACATGGGATCCCAGCACTTACAAGGGGAGGATTAAGCCTATTGAACCAGCGTGCTGGGCCTGTCACCTCCTGTCCTGCCAGTGATTGTTATAAATAATTCCACTTCTTTAAGAGGGAAGCTTGGGATGTGGCAGCCCAAGATACAGAGGAGCCATCCTGCTGGTGTCTGAGGTCCCCAGATGCTGCTGGCCTCCCATAGCTCTGGCTCTGTTCTTCAGCCCAGCCAACCTCAACGGACTGCTCTGTCTTAGGAGTTCTAGACATACCTGTAAATTGTTCTTCTGCACGGCTGAGGGCTTAGGCTCTTCTAGTCTGCATGTTCATGCTTGCTGTCTGTCCCTGTCCCACCCCACCCTACCCCTCCCACTCCCCAGCCACTGTTGTATGTTAACCTCTGGGTGGAGTCGTGAGCCATATCCCAGGTGGTTCAGGTGATCTTACAACAGGCCTCTCTAAGCACTCACTCACTCGTCCCCATTCAGATGGACCCATCAGCCCTGCCTGCCTTTTCTCCATTTATTCCTGTGCCTGTTGTCTGCTGCTTCCCTCTGGTTTTTACTATTTTTTTAAAGCCTTGCTGATGTTTTGAAACTTCTCAGCTGTTGCTTAGAAGGCCACTAGTCCCTCTTACTCGACTAGAAGCTTTTAGTTTTGATTTTCACATTTAGATACAAGAAGTCGGTCTTGTTTTTCTTATTCCTTTGTGCTTAATCATCAGTATTAAATGCTCCGAGGGCAGCACGTTCCCCCACCCTCCTCACCACTGTAACCCAGGGAGCAGATGAGGAAGGATGCCCTAAGGAGTAGCTTGCCAGGAACATAGGCATTAGAAGGGTAAAGAGGAAGGTGGGGTTTGATCTGATAGAGTTGTGGGTTGTGTGGTGGATTGTAGGCTGCATGAGGAACGGACAGGGGCAAGGGAAGGCCTTCATCCTGCCTCATTCCAGAGTGCAGTAGGTTCTCAGTACAGGTTGAGGCATGGCTGCTGGTCAGCCAGGGTAAGCACAGGCTCACCCGGAGGGACTGACTCGTATAAACGTGCAGGTTCCCCGGTGACCTCTCCCCAAATGCCAGAGCTCCTGGGGAGAAATCCTGGCTTTCACCAGCATGACAGGTTTCTAGATACTGACCCAATTACAGTGAAGCGAGGATCTATAACGTGTTTAATTCCTAAAGGGGGAAAATAGTGCTCTGTGTCTCTGGTAGTTATATATTAATCAGGAACTAACATGAAGCAAATCAGAATGTATGATTTAAAAAAAAAATGGACCCTTGAAACGTTCCCTATAAATTTTCCTTGAGGTTGAAATACCAGACTGTCTGATTTCCAACAAAAGTTCTGTGAAGAGTGGACAGTCACCCCGAGAGACAGGTTCTTCAAAGCCTTTTAGACTGTGTGGTTCAATATAGTAGTCACCAGTGAGTACCATGTAGCTGTTTAATGGTGTAAAATTTAAGATTCACTACCTGAATTGCGGTACCCACATTTCAAGTGCTCAGTAACTGCATATGGCTCTATATTGGACCATGCTGAACATTCTCATCACTGCAGGTGGTTACTGAGGACTGTGTAGCTCTGAAGCAGTCATTCTGTAGAGCAGGTATGGAGATAACATTGGCTGTAGAGGCCCGCCCTCTTATCTCGCTCTGAAGGGGCATGCAGGGTCAGGTGCTGAGGTCTTTGTTGCTCTGCTAACGAATCAAGTGTTGGGTACTCATATAGCGTGTTCTTTCTCTCTTCTGCCACAGTGTTGGAGAGTTGGCTGGACTACACTGGGGAGCTGGAGCCCCCAGAGCCGCTGGCCAGGCTCCCGCAGCTCAAGCACTGCATCAAGCAGCTGCTCACAGACCTGGGCAAGGTGCAGCAGATTGCCCTCTGCTGCTCTACATGAAACTGGGCACCCAGCACTAGTGGGAGCACCACTCCCGGGCACCTGCAGGAGGAGCGTTGCATATTTAAATGAACTTAGCATGCCGAATGCACGCGACACCAACTGACTTCAGGGATCCAGCCAGGAACATGAGGGGATGCTGAACAAAGGCCATTTTTGGCTGGTGGAGGACAAGGCACTCTGCTCTTGAAGCCTGCTAAGAAGGTGGCGGATAAGACTCTTGGGGATTCCCTTCTTCTGTGCACATTGTTGAATGAAGAAGAGTCGTTTTGCACAAACTTCACTTGAAATCGTGCCACTGATAATGGAATGAGAACCAAAAAAGTTTGAGACAGTTGTTGAATTCTACTTGCAATGTATTTAATTGACTTTTTTGTCAGATTGGGCACATGCCCACCCTGCTGGTTTCTGCCTGGCATGGTGCTTAGGCATCTTCATGGGACTGTTGGGACTCCAGCATTCTGTGGCGGCTGGGAAGAAGCAGAGGCCTGGCTGCCCTGCTTTTCCACCAGGACTCCTCACGTATCTCACATCTCTTGCATGATTTTCTGGTACCTGGGACACATTTTGTATTTCACCCCAAGCTGGCTTTTGTAGCAGAGACTGTCAGCCGGTGGAGGAACTAGAATCTTCCAAACTGAAGCAGGCAGGGTGTGGAATCCCAAAGGACAGCGTTTCCTATCCACCTCTCAACACTGACCACTTCCTTGTTCTTATTTAACGTCCAAAAAAACGGTTCCCAAAATTTTGAACTTTCACTGTAAAGATTTGTTACAGAGAATGTGGTTTGGGGAAATTTCCTTATTGTTTTATACCGTCGTAAACGTCAGATGTGACCCGTGCCGCTTTTCTCCTCCCCTGAAGGGTGTGCTTAATGGTCTGCATCTTCAGGATTGTCTTGTTAATATACTTCAACACTTTAATTCCCATGTATTGTTTTGTGAGATCAAAGTAATTATGCTGCTTAAGGTCCAGGTACAAGCCTCTCATACCCTTTGAGACATTATTTCTTACTTTTGCAGGTTACGGTTCCACACGTGTAATGTCTGTATCTTGTTTTTGTTTTTCCTTGCGAGGCAGTGAAAGAATGTGTTCCATGCTTTGACAAAGTGACCCGTTTCACTAGTTTTCTTATCACTAAATGCAAAAATCAAAGCACAGTTGTCCACAACCACAATTATGGGTTTATGAATCTATAATGTTATCTGCTGCAAATATTTACTATGTAAACATGAAGTAGTGGTGACAGTGTCTCCAAGGGCCCGCCGCAGTGGTTAGGCTTTAAGGTGCAGGTCGTTGTGGTCATGAACTCAGGCCTTCGCGCCAAGGAAGACCTGTTTCAGGGAGAGCTCCCTCTATATCGTGTTCACCATTTGGTATGAAATGAATTCTAGAACAAGCGTAAGTTAACCTGTTGTAGTTTTTCCATCGAGGGGAGTACATGAGGCTGTGACATAGGGGGTAACAAAGTTGGCATGGTTTCCCTGTAAGAAGTTGTTTACCACTGCCAGCCTTGGTGGTTGATGTGGGAAGAAATGCTGAGTATGTGTGTAGCACCAGTGCGCTGTACAGTTTATCAGAAAGCTGTGTTGTACCAACTGTGGTACTGGTCCAAAAAAGGGAAGAAACAGGATGGTATTCTGTAGCCACAACTGTGAGATACGATGATGTTGTATTACATTACTGATTTTTTTTTTTTTCCTTCAGGAAATGCATTAAAAAAAATCACAGGAAAGCTGTTAACGTTTCTTGTGTCAGGTTCAAAGATGAAAGTAGAAAGCGGAATTACCTTCATTCTGCCAGGTGGCCATGATTATCTGTATTAAGTTTCATAAAGGAAATAATCCATTTCACTCATTGTGACCTTTGTTCTTTGGAAAGCAGGGATAGTGGCAGCGTGCTTCCCTAACTTAAAGCCATGTTGAGGGGTTCCATTCCCAAGTTCCAGGTCAAGTTAACTTCCCACTTTGGAGCACTGGAAACTGTTATTCAAACCTTGCTGTTACCATTTAGAAATATGTGCACTACCTAAGGGGTTTTTTTTCTTTTTTTTTTTTTTTTTTAGAAAAACTATCCACCTATAAGAAATTGCCTTGATAAAAGGTCTGATTTGAATGGTTTTGTTTAAGTGACGAGCCAACGTTGCACTGTGGATCTATATGTTTACGCGCTGTTAGAACAGAAGGCGCTGTATATAGAAATGTTGCTTTGAAGCAATATTTGCAAAACATGCAAACTTCTGTATCTGTATTTGGAAACAATAAACAGGTTCTTGTTGCTATGTTTCAGTCTCATTATTGAATTACAGTCTTCACCCTTGGTTTAATATGTATTCTTTTATCTAATGTGAAACCCAAGCTTGTATTTATTAAGGTTTATTTAGAAGGCAGAGTTAACATTTTTCACCTACTGAATCACTCACTCCCCAAATGGCCTGGAGCTAGGACAGACCAAAGCATGGAATCCTGAAACTTGTCTCCCATGTGGCTGGCAGGGGCCCAAGCACTACAGCCTCTTCCACTGCTTTCCCAAAATCCAACCTTTTAAAAGGATGATCTTTTGCAGGAAAGCAGAAGCAAGCTATACCAGGAAATCCCAAGGAAGTATGCAAAACACTTTTGAACTTAATGTTTTTCTTTATTCAAAAGCAAAATCCCCATGCCATCTTTTTAAAATTAGAAATTTTAATATTGTTACATAATTGAGAGGGATATATGCCTATGTGGACCTCTCATTACAGTGGGGAGGGTTGAACGGAGGAAGGTGAGTGGGATGTTTTTTTCTCCTCCTGTGTTCACAGGGAAGGAGGAGGAGGGAGCCGTTCCTTGCTGTCAGATGACATCAGCACCTGAGGGAGGAACAGGGGACATTTGATGTCATCTTAGAGACCTGGTGTGGGAGAAGAGCGTGTGTTCCCAGGGTGTCAGTGTGGTTTTGATAACCCTGAGACATTGTTGGCATCACTGCATCAGGGTTGAGGAAATCTTTCCAGGGTCTGTTGGTCAACAGAGTCCACACTAGTGCATCCACAGACCCAGGAACATGCACTAGCTTGGTCAGAATTGTCCAATCTGTTAATGCTTTCCATCCTCACTCTGATGGGGCAGTCAATGTCCCCTGCTAGTGTAGGTGATCTGGGCATGCTGTCCACCATACAAGGCATCAGCAACTAAGGAGGCCCAGTCCATGCACTCCAAAGTTGGGTCACACATCCTGTGATTTTTCTGGGGTGGCCAGGGTCTGAATCCAGTGGTCTAGTTGGGGAGTCCCCAAGAAACCTTGGCTGGGGGACCTCAGACTTTTGTGTTCCTTAGCCAGTGCAGATTCAGGTTTGGCCTGTCACCTGCACTAGCCAACACACATACCAGTGGATGCAGTTACCTCTGCAGTTCCAGCCCAGCCCCATCTCCCATGTGAACCAATGGATGCTGTGGCACAGCTCGGCCAGCCTACCACAGGCCTGGTCCCTCATGTATACCAGTGGGTGCCATGGTCTAGCTGAAGCAACCCTCAATAATTAATTCTACCAAGATGTTAAGATGGCACCAAATATTCTCTGGGATCTACCTCAAACTGCCTGTGGAACCCAACCAGATCCTCCTCAAGTGGACAGAGGCCTCAAGAATTTCAGAGGAGGCCAGGCCAGCATAGCAAGTTAGGCTGCCACCTGCATCCCATATGGATAAGTGGGAGTCCTGGCTGATCCATTTCTGATCCAACTTTGTGCTAATGCACTTGCGACAGCAGTGGGATGGCCCAAGTGTTTGGGCCCCTGCACATAAGGAGGAGACTTGGAGGAAGTTCCTGGCTTCTAGCTTCGGATCGGCACAGTGCCAGCCATTGTGGTCACTTGGGGAGTGAATCATCGGATGTAAGATCTTCCTCTCTCTCCTCCCTGTATACCTGCCTTTCCAATAAAAATAAAATCTTAAAAAACAAGAACAAGATTTTCTCCTTATTTGCCAGGTTTTCTTTAAGAAAGCAGTTAAGCTAGAGGGCAGGTTGCAGAGATGTTAAAATGAGTGGCTTGAGGCAAACAATTCATTTGTTTACACCAGTTCCTACACTGAAATCCTACCAGGAGCCTAGAAGTTTGTAAGAACATGTGGGGAGGCATAAAGCTCACAAACAAGAGCTATCCCATCTCTGAACAGTGTCATTATCATTCTTTCCAGGTATGGACCAGACCACTGGGATCCCCACGTAGCATCCTGCCTAACAGGTGTAATGCAGGGATGGTCCAGATCCTACAACAGTGAAGGAACAGGAATTAAAGGCTTTGTTCTTGCCCCAGCCACAAAGGAGGTGGTGGACAGAAGACGAAGGAAAAGACACACACCAGACCGCTGGAGCTGCCAAAAACTCTATTTTCCATGAACAGAGCGGGTGGGGTGCCCGGCTCAGGCCCCCGGTCACGACCCCTCTCCCACCCCCCAGCACCTGCAGCCCCGGCGGCGCCGCGGGTGCTCAGCCGGTGATGCGCACGTCGGCACGGCGCCGCAGCCGTCGGGCCCGCGCCTCCTCGGGCAGGATGGCGAGCAGCTGCTCCTGCACCAGCATCTGCACTATCTGCTCCTTGGTGCGAATGTCGGGCCGCAGCCACTGGCGGGACAGCTCCCGCAGCTGGCGGAACGCCTCGCGAGGCCCCGCCGCGTCCTGATAGCGGAACTGCCGGAAGCGCTGGCGGAACGTCTCGGGGCCGGGCCGGGAGCCCCCGGAGCCGGGCGGGGAGCGCGGGGCGGCCTCGGCGGGGGACGGCAGCTCCAGGGCCGCGGGGGGCGCGGGCACCGCTTCGGGCGGCCAAGCCTGCTCCTCAGGGGCCGGGCTCGAACCGGCGTCCTCGGGGGCCTCCAGCGACGCTGCCGCTGCGGAGGGGCTGGAGGGGCCTTCGGGGTCCGCACTCGGGCCAGTGTCCTCGGGCGTGTCCAGCGCCGCCGCCGAGGGGCTGCCGGCGGCCACCAGGCTCGGCTCGCTCTCCGCCATGGCGTCGGCACTCTGGTCCAGCGGCCGTAGGCTCTCAGCAACTGCGTCTGCGCGGGGGCGGGATGAGGAAGCGGAGGAACGTGTCCCCTGGCGGGGAAGGGAGACCTCGACGAAGGAGGCGACTGGGCGCGGGACGCGAGGGACGCGCAGCTTACCTGCACCGCCGAGTCCCTAGCGCAGCCGGAAGCGGAAGTTCCCCGAGCCTCCTCGGGAATACCGCCGGCGCATTAGCAACCCGGAAGCCAGGTCGGAGCTGACGGAAGCGGCGCTCGTGAGGCGCAACCGTAGGCGGAGGAGGGGGAAGGTAACGAGTGACGTGGTAGACTCAGAATTGGGGCGCCAACGCTGCACCCCGCTTGTCCCTTGGCAGGCTCGCGGCCCACCTTGGCCGTGTGTACGCGTTAGGATGCCTGGTGGACGGGGCCGCTCTGGGCGAGGGCTTGGTCAGACAGGGTGCCGTCGCAAACGCTTGGGAGCTCAAATAAATGATGACATTTTCTGTGGCTTTGGACTTCTTAACTGCAGCTGTTTGGGGTATTCTTTCGAGCAAGGGGTGTGGTGGGAGCTGCATTGCTGCTGGCTTTCTCCCCTCAGGCAGGAATTACTTGCATGAAGCCCTTGGCAAGAAAGGACGCTTGCTGTTGTCACTAAGCAAGTGGCTGCTATGAGCTACAGTTTTCTGTGAGTCTTACCTCCTGGAGGTTATTGTGAGACTCCGTAAGACCAATGCAGGTGGAAGTGTGTAGCTCACAGCCTTTCCACAGCCCACCCACGAGCAGACCTTGGGTTCCCCCGGTGCACACAAAGGGAAACGGAGGCCTGTGCATCCTTGCTACCCTTGGTGACCGTGAGGTGGTGTCTTACCAGCTGTTGTACGTTTACAAGTATACTTTAGTAAAGAGCAGGGAACCACAGAAGCCAGAGTTCTGAGAGCTTGGACCGTAAGGACACTAAACTGTAATTCCCAAAGGTGGATAAGTTATTTTGCTATGTGTGCTTGCCTTTTTTTTTGTTGTTATGGAGATGTGTTTGATTTACAGAACTGCAGGATTTCACAGACGGATCAAGGAATGTCCAAATTTAGGGGTACCAGCCTGGGCAGCAGCCAGGTCTCAGCAGTGAGCCCATGTTAGTCACTCTGAACACTTGTCAACGCCTGGTATTGTCCTGTTTTTAAAGGCCATTCTAGGGCCTGGCACGTGGCCTAGTGGTTAAAGTCCTCACTTTGAACTCGCTGGGATCCCATATGGGCGCCGGTTCTAATCCTGGCAGCCCAGCTTCCCACCCAGCTCCCAGGTTGTGGCCTGGAGAAGCAGTTGTGGATGGTCTAAAACCTTGGGACCCTGCATTTATGTGGGAGACCCTGAAGAGCTCCTGGCTCCTGGCTTCGGATCAGCACAGTTCCAGCCATTGTGGTCACTTGGGGAGTGAATATTGGGATGGAAGATCTTCCTCTCTGTCTCTTCTCCTCTCTCTATATATCTAACTTTGCAATAAAAATAAAAATTTTTTAAAAAGCCTTTCTCGTAAGTGATGAGGGACAGCTCATTGTGCTGTTTTTTTGTTTTTAAATTATTATTTTCTCCTTTTGTTTATGTCCAGGGTACGTATTTTGTTTTTTATCTAATGAACTTTTTTTAAAAATGTGATAAGGTCAGAAGCAGTAGCCTGCTGGCACATGCCAGGATGCCATATGGGTGCCGATTTGTGTCTCAGCAGCCCCCCTTCCCATCGAGCTCTCTGCTTGTAGGTCAGCAGTCAAGGACAGCCCAAAGCCTTAGGACCCTGTACCCACATGGGATGCCCAGAAGCTCCTGGCTCCTGGCTTCAGATTAGCTCAGCACCGACCATTGTGGCTATTGAGAAGTGAACCAGCAGATGGAAGATCTTCCTGTCTCTCCTCCACTCTGTAAATCTGACTTTCCAATAAAAATAAACACATCTTTTAAAAAATTGTGAATAAGTGTAAATAAACAGCGTTGATTATTTAAGTGGTTTTTCCGCAGGTACAATTCAAGGGCATTTAGCACCTTCACATCCTCATGTACCTGTCGTCATGATCTGTCTCAGAACTTTTTGTTGCTCAAAGCTGAACTTTTATATCATTTACTAATAACCCTTGGTTTCCTGTCTGTGACAACCACTGTTCCATTTTCAGTCTCTGAATCAGCTGTCCTGGTCCTTGATTGAGTTATATTTGTCTTTTAATGTCTGGTACATTTCAGTTAGCATAATGTCTTCAGGCACATTGGAACATGATCAGAATTTTGTTCTTTCTTAAGACTGATATTCAAGTGT